GCCACCAATCTAGTACATTTTCAGCAAGAGCCATGTGCTCAATTTTCTAATGGTTTTGCCATAAGAGCACAGGAAAACATTTTTGAAAAACCACTTACATATAGGTCTGTTACATTTCACTTTCCATGCTCTTGTTTTTCCTGGCTCCGGAATATCAGTGGAAAATGTGACTTTTTTTTTTCTTTAGAAAGTGTCTTAAAAAATATCAGAACCTGGAATGCTCACCCTGATTAAGCCGCCAGGCTTTGGTGGAGAAGCACAGAAAAGGGATGCCAGATTTCTTCAGGGAAATGTAAACATTTCCTCAAATCTAAATTTAGCAATAATTTCCTCCTGCCTGCTAAATAGGTTTACTGCCAACAAACCCTCTTTATTAGTTGCTCTTGTAGGCAAATGATTTGGATAATTAGACTGGGGGTAAATCTACACTGTATAATTAACACAGTTTGACCCCGCTTGAATTGTCAGACTTCGCTACTATGGGACCATGGGATTTGTAGTTTGGTAAGGCGGAGCAGGCTAAAACAGTTGTTCCCAATCTTTGGTCCTCTAGGTGCTTTGGACTTTAGTTTCCACAATTTATAACAAGCTGGCAAGCTGGTGTGGATTTCTGGGAGTTGAAGTCCAAAAAACCTGAAGGACCAAAGGTTGGGAACTACTGATATAAAACAACAACTGCCAAGATTACACAGTATTGAGCCATGGCAGTTCAAGTGGATCAATTCAACAGTGTAGATCAGTGTGTCTCAGCCTGGGGGTTGCAAGGGGGGCTTCAGAGGGGTCTCCAAAGACCATCAGAAAACACATATGTCTGATGGTCTTAGGAACCCGTTTGGCAGAGAAGGCTGAAGATGTCTTATCTTCCTTTAACGTCATTCAAATCATTGAATCTGAAACCACTTAGGTTGTCTTTCAGAGGACCTCTGGCTTCTCTGTGTAGTCCGACATTGAATGACGTTAAAACAGCTTTAAAATCAGGGGTCACAAAGCAAAACTCTGAATTTTTCCAAAGTGGTTTTGATGTCTGGGTTAAACAATGGTGACATTTGTACAAATTGATGGTGACTATGTTGAACGGTAGTTTTGTATAGAGGATTGTTCAGGCTATGACTGGTGGCAACTTCTGTTGTTATATGCTTGTTTATAATGTTTTTATAAATAAAAATATTAATAATAATACAAATATAAAAATATAATATAATAATAAATATAAAATATATAAATAATAAAAAGAATATAAATGTTCATTTCTAACATTTTTAAAAAGTACAACAGGAGGCAAAACTTTTTGACCCACCCTCGTACATCCTTTAAATCAGATATTTACATTACGATTCATAACAGTAGCAAAATTACAGTTATAGGGTAGCAACAAAAATAATTTTATGGTTGGGGGTCACCACAACATGAGAAACCCCCCAGTAATTCACACAGGCCAGATTATTTTACATTAAGCACACTGTAACTGGGCCACCAATTTTATAACTGGTAGTGCTGACTTAAAATTATATATTCTATACCAGAGGTCCTCAAACCTTTTGAACAGAGGGCCAGGTCATCGTCCCACAAACTGTTGGAGGGCTGTATTATAATTTGGGGGGGGGGAAAGACATGAATGAATTCCTATGCACACTGCACATATCTTATTTGTAGTGCAAAAAAACCCCACTTAAGAACAAAACAATAATTAAAATGAAGAACAATTTTAACAAATATAAATTTATTAGTATTTCAATGGGAAATGTGGGCCTGCTTTTGGCTGATGAAATAGGATTGTTGTTGTTGTTGTGTGCTTTCAAGTAGTTTCAGACTTAGGTTGACCCTGAGGGAGGGGTGGGTAAATGACCTTGGAGGGCCGTATCCCACCCTCGGGCCTTAGATTGAGGACCCCTGCTCTATACCACAATAGAAGAATATCTTATTAAATCAGCTGTTTCAAACAGTGGTGTTCATTGGAGATGTATCAGCAACAAGATCCATTTGATGGTGTGGACCCAATTCCTCAAAAGGTAGCTTGCTCCAGCAGCCCACATTCAAGGCAGAGCACTGGAGGTGTTTATTTCATGCTCATCCAAAGAAGTAAGTCAAACCAGACAGCCAACATTGTAAAGAGACTGACTGTAACAGTGTCAACATACTGGGAAATTTGAACTATGCGGTACTGGGCAATTAGAAGTGTTAAGAGGTTACTCATGCACACAATGCAGGTGGCTATATTTACATTTACATTTCTAAATTGTTTTTATCTGCCTTACCTGGATTTAAAAGCTAGGGTTTTAAAAAAATTAAGGGCGGAGGACAGGTGTCTTTACATCCAAAGGAAAGAGGATTACAATGTTTATATCCCATCTCCTATTAGCCATGTCTTTGTATAGTCCAAAGCACATGGTTTTACTTGGGGTGCATAAAAGTTTAGGGAAATTATTTGGAAAAATTTGAGTGGGTGTGACAATTTTTTTATATATATATTGTTTTGTTAATCGTATGGTTATGTTGTTTTCTTACTTTGTATGTTTTGTGATGTTACCTGGGAACCGCTCTGAGTCCCCTCGGGGAGATGGAGCGGTATATAAATAAAGTATTATTATTATTATTATTATTATTATTATTATTATTATTATTAAGAAAATAAACATATGCACAATGTCCCTGCATCATTTCCAGAGAGAGGTGGCAATTCTAAACAATATGTCATTTGCTCCCTCTGTTCTCATCATGACCTCCTTCATACACAGCTCTTTTGTAAAAATGAGTAAAAAAAAAACTTTCACAGAAGTTTATCAGCAGCAACAGTCAAAGCAACAGCTGAAAAGAGATTCCATGAGAAAAAATGCAAGTAGATCACAACAACAATAAAAAGAACCACATATTTAGAAAGAAAACAGTACAGTAAAACATAAAACTTGTCAGAAATATTAAAAATTAATTTGATATTTTTGATTGTGTGAGTCAAGCACTGAGTGAGTAGGCCGAAGCCTGTTAGAGTCAGTGGGACAAAGCTAGTGTCATTCCGAGGAGTGTGAGGTAAACCTCTGTGTGAGAGAAGCCTCATTTGAGAAAGCTCCTGTGTATGAAGGCTGCTGTGTGTAAAGCTACTGTGTATTTGTTTATTTGTGTTGTGGAAACCTTGTTATTGTAAATAGTGCAACTATATATCATTTTACTACAAAGAAAAGCCTCCTATGGAAGAGATAACATTGCTCTCTGTGTTTTTGTTCTTATTACTTTGGGCTACTGATGTTGGGTCACGCTGCTGCTGCTAAGTTTCTCTGCTATACATTTATGAGAAGGGCCTGTTTTTAATAAGCCCACTTGCCCAACAAAACTACTCTATAGGTTCTGGAACAACCAAGATTATAATGCCTAAATTAGCCATCTTTGGGGGCATCTGCATAGCAGAATGAATTCAGTTTGATCTCACTTTAGCTCTCATGTCTCAATGCTATGGGATCCTGGAAGTTCTAGTTTGGTGAGGCCCCAGCCCACTTTGGCAGAAGCTAAAGACCTTGTAAAAACTACAATCCCCAGGATTCCATAGCACTGAACTGTGGCACTTCAAGTGAGGCCCAACTGCATTCATTCTACAGTGTCGAGATGCACTCCTTGTTTCTTTCAGGGATAGTCTTTTCGTTTTGAATTCTTGGTTTTCTATTGAACCTGTTGTCAGCTTCTGTACAGGTGGGAACAGCACACTGGATGTTTACAGCCTCGATGTGGTGTCAAACTGCATTCCTTCTACAGTGCAGATGCACCCATAGGCCCTTCTGTGTCTCCCCATCCCAATTTGATTGCCGCCCTTGATCTCATCAAAATTTCATCTCCCTCAATCCTGATCCCAAAGGAGATGAAGCCTGGCCTTAAAGCAGGACCCCATGGGTAAAGAAGCACGCCTCTGAGCATGTGCAGAGTGCCTTTTCATTCTCCTGCTCCTCTTCAGGTCTCCTTTCCCTTCCCCAACCTCAGTCCCACTGTGTTCTTGATGGAAAACCTCAGAGGTGAAGAAGCATGCCCCTGAGCATGTGCAGAGCGCCCTTTCATCCTCCTGGTCCTCTTTCAGGACTGATTTCGTCCAGTGCTGCCCCTTCCTTGCCCTCAACCCCACTGTGGCTGCAGCCTGGCCTTAAAGGGAAGCCCTGGGGCGGAGAAGAGTGCCCTTGAGCATGTGCAGAGTTCCCTTTAGTCCTGGTCCTCTTTCAGGACTGATTTCCCCCCAGTGACGCCTCTTCCTCAACCCCACTGTGGCTGAAGCCTGGACTGAAAACATAACCTCATGAAAAATGAAGCTTGCCCCTGAGCATATGCAGAGGGGCCTTTCATCATTCTGGTGCTCTTTCAGGACTGATTTCCCCGTCCACAACCTGAATCCCATTGTGAAGCCTTAAAGCAGAACCCTAGGCAAAGAAGCGTGCCCTTGTTCATGGGCAGAGCCCCCTTTGTCCTCCTGGTCCTCTTTTAGGACTGATTCCGCCCCCCCCCCGCCCCCCCAAGTGCTGCCCCTTTCTCAACTTCAATCCCATTGTGGCTGATGCCAGGACTGAAAACATAACCTCATGAAAAATGAAGTGTGCCCCTGAGCATATGCAGAGGGGTCTTTCATCCTCCTGGTCCTCTTTCAGGACTGGTTTCCCCTTCCACAATCTGAATCCCATTGTGAGCCTGAGGTTGAAGCCTTAATGCAGAACCCCTAGGTAAAGAAGCGTGCCCCTGAGCATGTGCAGAGCGTCCTTTCGTCGTCCTGGTCCTCTTTCAGGACTGATTTCCCCTTTCACAACCTGAATCCCATTGTGAAGCCTTAAAGCAGAACCCTAGGTAAAGAAGCGTGCTCCTGAGCGTGTGCAGAGCCCCCTTTGTCCCCCTGGTCCTCTTTCAGGACTGATTTCCCCGAGTGCTGCCCCTTCCTCGCCCTCAACCCGACTGTGGCTGCAGCCTGGCCTTAAAGGGAAGCCCCAGGGGCGGAGAAGCGTGCCCCTGAGCGTGTGCAGAGCGCGGCCCCGGCTCACCTCCTCCCCGAAGTGCACCACCTTCTGGCCGGTGTTGAGGCGGAGGTTGGGCAGGGCCTGGGGCTGGGGCTGGGCCGTCCTGGGGCCCCCGCGGTGGGCGGCGTAGCGGGCCTGGACGTGGGGCTGGACGAGGCTGGCGTCGATGATCTCGTCCTGGCGCCGCGGCGGGAGGCGCTCCCAGTCGGGCCCGTAGCGCTCCCGGATGCGCGCCTTCTCCGCCATGATCTTCCGCGCCATCGGACTCAGCGAGGAGAAGTAGCTGAAGCGCTTCCGCTCACGGTCGTCCAGCGGGCGGTTCCCCGACAGGGACGCCGTGCGAGACGCCGCGATCGCCGCCGCCATCGAAGCCATCGCCCCGGCCGAAAACAAGAGGCGGCAGCAGCAGCAGGAGGGACGCCGCCGCCAACAGGCCCCGCCCCCTCCACTCCCGCCCCCGCCCCTCACAAGCCCCGCCCACCACCGGCCCTGGCCACGCCCCCTCCTTCTAGAGCATCATCTCATCAACCAAAATATAGGAACAGATCCCGAGCTGCCTCCTTTCTTTTAATTCTTCTTGATATTGAAAAGCGTATTACACATAATAATAATAATAATAATAATAATAATAATAATAATAATAAAATAATTTTTATTGGTGAAAACAGGGAACAGATTCCAAATGCTTTCCTTTTCTTCCTCTTGATATTGAATTCTTCATCCTTCTTCCTTTTTCTTCTTGTAATAATAACAAGCCAGTAAAGGTAGTCCCAGTGGTAATCAGCACACTGGGTGCACTGCCTAAACTACAAGAAAGGAGATTCCACCTGAACATGAGGAAGAACTTCCTGACTGTGAGAGCCGTTCAGCAGTGGAACTCTCTGCCCTGGAGTGTGGTGGAGGCTCCTTCTTTGGAGGCTTTTAAGCAGAGGCTGGATGGCCATCTGTCAGGGGTGATTTGAATGCAATATTGAATGCAACCCCTTCTTGGCAGGGGGTTGGACTGGATGGCCCATGAGGTCTCTTCCAACTCTTTGATTCTATGATTCTATGACCTTGGCACACACTTAAACACAATTGGCGCTGACAAAATTACCATTGTCAGCTGCAAAAGGCCACCCTACTAGGATCTGCACGCATTATTCGCCGATACATCACACAGTCCTAAACCCTTGGGAAGGGTCCAACCTGTGATCCAAGAGAACAACCAGCATACTGACCTTGTTTGCTGTGTACTAATATTATTGTGCTTCAAATAACAACAACAACAACCATAAAATGCAATCAGCCTGAAGCCTATAAATATCTGGCCATACTGCAGTTGGACAATATCAAGCATGAGCAAGGAAACTGCTTGGGAAACCTCAATGTATCACAACCCCAAAGCCTGATTTTACGTAGATTGGCTGCAATGACTTTCTATAGAGTTGGGCTGTTAACATTTTAAGTGCATCTGTTACTGGGAACTAGTTCATATACAGAAGAAATCAGGTTACTCTCCACTCTTCAACAATTCTGTATTATTGAAAATATTTCCCTTTTCTATTTAATTTGTAAAAAGAATTGATTCAAGAACTTGGCTTCTGGGGAAAATCAGACATAATGTGAAAAGCTGTCATAAGGACGAAGGAGCAGGCTTGTTTTCTGCCGCTCTGCAAACCAGAGTTCGGAACAATGGCTTCAGACTACAGGAGATTCCACTTGAACATTAGAAAGAACTTCCTGACTGTAAGAGCTGTTCAGCAGTGGAACTCTCTGCCTCAAAGTGTGGTGGAAGCTCCTTCCTTGGAGGCTTTTAAACAGAGGCTGGATTGCCATCTGTCTTGGCGCTTTGATTGTGCTTTTCCTGCATGGCAGGGGGTTGGACTAGATGGCCCATGTGGACTCTTCCAACTCTATGATTCTATGATTCTAAGATACTGTTTCATTATTATGTTAGAAATAACAACAGCATACAAATGAAGGGATCACTGCTCTTTATTGTAAGAAGTCACATAGCAACTAAAGCCTTTTCAGGCAATGAGATGAATCTGTACTTAGCACTTCAATCATGGTTCGTAACGTTGGAAAGGATTCTGATATCAGTGGAAGACTCTTGTAGGAAAGTGAAATGCTGAAAAAGAAAAATACAAATATTATAGATCAACATTTTGCATTTTTTATTCACTCCAAGAACATTTGATATATCACTATTCATATTCAGGATCAATGCTGGTTTAGAGACAAGAAGATCCAGAAGATCTAGAAAAACCTCCTTGAAAAACTGGGGGAAAATTCTATCATTGCTTACAAATTGCTGAAAATGTTTGACTACAAAATGGTTTTGTTTTCAGAAAAACATAAAGGTCGAGCATTCTTAACCCAAAATGCACCAAAGCCCCAAAACATTTTCAAGTGCCAACATAACACTCAAGTGGATAATTCCACACCTGCCCTTGGAATGTGTTTTTAAAAAAGGACCTTCAGGATATGTGTAAAAGGTGGGTATGAAATATAAATAATTTAATATTTAGATTTGGGTCTCATCTACCTATTTATATATTTATCTAAAGATCAAAATATGTCTCCCTGCCCCCCTATTTGTACCACAAAGGCTGTTGCTAGGTGAAGTGGCCTTTGTGATGTTACTGGGAAAGAAAAGTGGTGTGTATGAGGGAAGACGAGAAAAAAGAAAAAGAAGGGCAAGGAGGGAGGGAAAGAAAGAAAAAGGAGGGAAGGCAGGAAAGAACCATGTTGCCATGGAGACATTAGCCTTCTCAGAGCTGGAGAAGGGAGAAGGAATGAATGAATGAGAAAGGAAAGGAGTAGGAAGGGAATGGGAGAATAAAGAAAAAAGAGGGACGGAAGAAAGGAAGAGAAAGAGGTAAAGGTATGGTGGAGGGAAAGAGAAAGAAGGGATAAAACCAGTGTGTAATGGCTGCTCTGACACCCTGGCAATGCCAGATATATACACTATATGCTAGTCTGTAGATAAAAGTTATGTATGTATATATGTACCAGAACTCCTGGTGGCGCAGTGGGTTAAAGCGCTGAGCTGCTGAACTTGCTAACCAAAAGGTTGCAGGTTCAAATTCAGGGAACAGCGTTAGCTCCCGCTGTTAGCCCTCGCTTCTGTCAATGTAGCAGTTCGAAAACATGCAAATGTGAGTAGAACGATAGGTACCTCTCCAGCGGGAAGGTAACGGCGCTCCATGCAGTCATGCTGGCCACATGACCTTGGAGGTGTCTGCGCTCTTCGGCTTAGAAATGGAAATGAACACCAACCCCCAGAGTTGGACACGACTAGACTTATTGTCAGGGAAAAACCTTTGCCTTTATGTATGTATGTATGTATGTATGTATGTATGTATGTATGTGTGAACTACAAAGGCTTCTACATGGCTTGATGGATCTGTATAAAATACTGGCAGGGTTGGAAGTTCAGTAACCTAACCATTTTGCTTGCTCACAAACATTTAAAACAATCTATACTGCCAACAAATGAGTCTGAGGTGTTTAGAACTAACTGCAAGAGGGCAGTAGAGAGTTGCCATGGATACATTTTAAGACAGGCCTTTTCAGGAGGCCTAGACACTGATATCAGCAGGAAGAGCCTTTAGAGCAGGCATGGGCAAACTTTGGCCCTCCAGGTGTTTTAGACTTCAACTCCCACAATTCCGAACAACATACCGACCGCTAAGCATTGTGGGAATTGAAGTCCAAAACACTAGGAGGGACGAAGTTTGCCCATGCCTGCTTTATAGGGTAATTATATAGATAGACAGGTTTAGCTGCTGGTTTTCCACTGAAATCCAGACTGGGTCCAAAGCTGCTTAGCTATGAGGCAAAAGCACAACTCTAAAGGTCATAGCAGGGATGTCCACTCCAGATGAGTAAAAAAGTAATTTCATGAGGATTTCTATTTTAAAGTGGGCGTGCCTGCACTGTGTTCTGGGATTAAGAGAGTGTGACTGTTTAGCTTCCAAGAATGTGTTCCCTTTTAGGTGGTTGAGCCATCAGCCTGAGCAAATAAAACCTGACGAGCCCTCACAAAAACAGTGGAGATGCTTCAGAGCCTCTCAGGGGGGAAAAGCATCACCATTGAAGTGTTTTGAGAGAAGGGGGGGAGTGTATGAGGGAAAAGAAGAGAGGAAAGAAATAAAGAGAAAAGGAGGAAGGAATAAAGCAAAGAAGGGAAAAGGACAGGGAAAAGGAAGGGATGGATAAGAAGGAAGGAAAGAAGGAACGAATGAAAGAAAAGAAAAATAGGAGACAGTAAGACGAGAAAGAAGGAAAGAAAGAAAAAGGGAAGAGAAAGGACGGGAAAAATGGACAAAGGAGGAAGGGAAGAAAAAAAGGTAGAGAAAGAAAATAAATAAGAAAGTGAAAGGTATGAGGGAAGATGGATGGATGGATGGATGGATGGATGGATGGATGGATGGATGGATGGATGGAAGGGAGGGAGGGAAGGAAGGAAGGAAGGAAGGAAGGAAGGAAGGAAGGAAGGAGGAAAAAAGAGAGAAGGAGGGAAAAGTATGACAGGAATGGATGAAGGAAAGAAAAAGCCACAAAGAAAATGCTACTTATGGACAATGCTACTTATATATAAGTCAAAATTTCCAAAATCTGAAAATACCAGAAACCTGAAACACTTCTGTTTTTTGGATAAGGGATACTCAACCTGTGCTGGCACCTTCAATTCTCAGGACATAGCAACTTGCAAAAATATAACGTATTAGTACAGTATTGAATGGTGTTAAAAACACTGCTGTTATGTTGTTTTAACATTCTACTTCATTTGAGTGATCTCACAAGAAGACTATAGATTGAAAAGGGAGAACTGCAATGCAAAGCAGTTTCCTAGGACACAAGATGGCATAAATCACACAATGGAGATGGAGGTGGGATACAGATAATATATATATATATAAAAGCATAATGAATAAGAGGTTTTTTAAATTTTTATTGAGGTTTTTCTTAGTAACATTACATCAATAGGGTGTTAATCATTGGCATATTGATTATACTTTAAAAGAGCCGGGGGGGGGGGGGGGGGGGGAAGGGGGGGAGGGAGGTGCCTTGGAGGGGGTGGGTGAGATTCCTAGCTAATGGGAGGTGGGGGGTGGTGGTGAGGGAGCTGGAAGGGGGAGAGGTATGCTTTCTAATGGGGAGTAGAGTAGGATGGGGGGGGGGGGGAGGGGGGGTGCCAGTGATTTTGGGAAGTGGGACGTGGAGTGTGTTAGCATTATTTAATCTTGTTAGTTATTCATTATTTCCCCCGTGGTTAGTTGGTGATTGTTTTATCCTTTATACTTGTTGTCTGGCTTCATCTTGCTGTTTCCCGTGTCTCCTTTCTGTTCTTAATTTCCTTCTAAATAAGAGTTTATTTTTTACCTTTTTAGATTCAGCCAATCTTTTGCGACTTTACTGAAGGCCTCTGAACCAGGTGCAATCATGGCTTCAAAATCCACCAGCTAGAACACATAAAGTTACTTTAAACCCCTATTCTCTTACACCAGAAGTGACTTGTCGCTCCTGACATGAAAAAAACCCCAACTTAAAACCCCTGTTTTAAAATGTAACTCCCTGAGCTACCTAAGCATACTGACACATATAGCACTATCAAAGATATATAATAGTGTGAGTTGAAAAAACAGTGCGGCTCATGTGTAGTCTGTCTCACTCTGGGTGCTACTTTAACAAATTGCGGGATAATAGTGCAGAGTCAAATCTTCTAATATAATTGTGGAAGGAAATGCATTTTAATTGTAAGCAATTAACTAACTTCTGTTTCAAGGTACCAACACCATTTGGTTTAAAACTGGACATGTCAACTGATAGTAAAAACAAAATAGTGTCATACTGTACTCACAGGAGCTTCTGTGCTCATTTACACATAGGGCATGTTCTATTTATTAATTTATTTACAACATTTGTATCCTGCCCATATCAGCCTGAAGGTGACGTACAAGTTGGTAACAATTAGATGCCATATATAGAAATACATACATCAATAAAAAGCAAAAACATCACAATACATTTAAAAACCATAAAAGCAATGAATAATAGAAATTATAAAAACTATGTCTTCTTGTTCAAAACCTCAACCGTTCCATCATCTTAGCCGTTCCTAGTTCATTTTCCAAAATGATTTTACATCATTTCTAGCAAAAGGTGAAATATTACTGAGGCATTCCCAAGTGCTTACAGAATGACAGGCTATGCCATTAAATACTGCAGAAGGACTGACGGGGGACGGTCGCAATGCAATCCTATATATATTTACTTGCAAGTACATCTCAAAGAGTTCTAGGGGATTTAATTCTATATAAATGCAAATAGGTCTGTAGACTCATTCAGCTATTTTGCTAGGGCTTTCCAATCTGTTTCAGAGAAAAAACATGCCTCCCAAGAAACTTACAGGAACTTTGCTTTACTCCCATCTTAATCAGTCTCATGTTATACTTTGTGAAGCATTATGTGAGATGCATAATAACTTGGATGTTATCTAATGCCAGAACCTGCTTTCACCTACATTTCTATGTATTTTATGCAGATCATACCTTTCCTTTGGGAATTTTTCCAGAAACTTCTTTTCCACTTGCCATCAGTGCCCCCATAATGACTGAATAAGCCACTACACTAGAAAGCAAGAAGAACAAAAGCAGAATCACCACAAAGCATCCTGTGATGTTCTGAAGCATCAACATACATTTTATAGATACAAACACAAAAGTGAAGGGAATTGCCAATGGAAGAACTTATCACTGTTGCCCTCCACTACCCATTCCTGTGCCAAATATGAAAACGTAGCATGCTGAAAGTGCAAAAAGAGTGCAGCCTGCTTTGACACTGCCAGCTAACCCTACTAGTTATGCACTGCCGTTCTAAAAAAGGGCATGCTATGAAATAAGAAGAGTAAGATTATTGAAATGGGAAAGAGAAATGAGGGGAGAAAGAGAGATTTGACTCCTAAGAAATCCATGACATGAAGAACAAAAGTGAACATATCTCCCCCCCCCCCCCAAAAAACACCTTTTTTCAGTAACAGATCCTTTCGCTTGGAACAATTGGGAACAAAATAAGTTCTGACATCTTGGACAGAATAACTGTTATTCAACCACATAGAGGGTTTTTTCTTTGCACTTTTCATTAATTATACCATCTATTCCTTGCCCATATTTGACTTCTGCTATGCACATTTGGGCTGATGTAAAAAGATTGCAGACCAAAACAAAGCTTTACCATCTCAGACAGGAAACAGTATTCTGTTGTTCAACCATTTTCTCATAAAAGATTATAACCACAATAAATATGACAAGCAGTTTTTGAGTTGAATGTTAAGAAATGGGAAGAAGGGGAAAACAAGCTAGCTCACAGTTACAGATAACTACCATGTGCAGAATGTAAACAGACACAAAATTACCTATGAAGAAAGATACTAACCTTGATCCCCTGGACAGAGGCATTAAATTATAGAAGTAGTATGCAAGTGAGAGGATTAGACTGCACACAGCATCAGATTCCTAAGTTGAATAAAAGCACAGATGTAACATCTAAAAAAGGAAATATTCATACAAACTGCACACATCTATCTTATGAGGTCTGATAGGTGAAATTAATGTAAATGTTTACATGATTTTTATCAAATAACATTCTGGTACCTCTAATTTTCTTCATTAAACATGAAAAAGCATAAAGGTGCTATTAGCATTAAGATAAACCATAAAAATATCTTTTTCATCCAGTTTTTTAAGACTATACTTTATCTAAATTATATGCTATTTCTTGTCATAATGCAAATACTTTTTGTCATGAAGAATAGAGATTCTATAAGTTCTCTAACTTACAATACTGTTGTATGTTTAAGCTGCCATTAATTTTTGTGGGAGATTTGGAACTTATAGTTCCAATATTATATTTACATTTAGCTAGGCTTTAGACTGCTACACACATACCTAGAAAAAAAACCTGTTTTTTATAATGAGCTGGATCCAAAGTTCCCACAAATAGAAGTTTGCTTATGGGATCCAACTATTTTTATAATCTTAATTAATGTATTTAATAATATGCAAGTTATGGCAGAAACAAAAAAAACTGCTTAGTAGCTGACCCAATTCAATATTATCACGAGCCTTTGACTTTCTTATTTCAAACAGTTTGACAAGCTGAATAGGGAATAGATTTTAGGAGGAAACAGAGCCTAAAGTCCTTTTGAGTTTCTGGAACAGATTGCACGTTATTTCTGTTTTGGTTTTTAAAATAATAAATACACAAACCTCTGCTCCAGGTTCTGTAGATGACACAAGTATTTTCCCTTTGGCAGTTAAGTCTTTATAAAGAGCATCAATTTCTGCATGATATTTTTGTGTTCTTTCCTCTGTTGTCTGTGTTTCAACTGAAAACAAAATGTTCCCAATCCTGAAAAAATAATAAGCATATAGTTATGCAAAACAGACAACAACTAGAGTAAATGATCCCAACAACTGCTACTTCAATCTGCAATGGATTCAGCATAACTAATTATTTCTCTTTAGAATCGAAACACCAAGATTCAAAAATAATATTCAAAACATATTTAACAGAACTATTAATAGTAGATAAAGTCGGTTACTTGCACACTCACATATATCTTTAAAAAGAGATAGATGTATAAATGGCTGGTAAGCATCACTTTTTTGCCTACAGGTAGATGACATAGAATGAAAGCTCAACATACTTATCTCCTGTTATGGTAATAGTAAATCCGTCATATTCTTTTCCTGGATCTTTGAGGCTTGGGACTTTGGTGTTGACAGTGAATCCATCTCTTGTTTTGCTGCTAAGCTGCTTTCAAATCACCAACAAATGGACAAGAATATTGACCTTTAACATATATTACAAGTACATTTAAAACCATTTCAGCATTCCTTATACAGCTGAGATGACAATATTCTAGAAACCATGCAGTTTATTTTCTTCAGGTGAGATCTGGTTATGGTAATATTACATGGGTATATTTTTCTTTTCACTGCTGGGCTTCAAAAGAACAGAGAAACTGCTACATTTAGATAGAATCACTCCAAAAAAGGGATTAGCACCTTGTGGTTATAGGGTTGAATGCAGCCTTAGATCGAATTTCCAAAGTTCCCCACATAGAAAAGTCTTCCATGATATCTATAACTAGGCCATGCCATGCTTCCTCCAGTCAGTAATTTACACAGAAAAATCTTTCTCCCTCTCTTTCTCTCTCTATACATACGGTATATGTGTGTCTGTGTATATACACACACACTATGCATTTATACAGGGGAGATAGATAGATAGATAGATAGATAGATAGATAGATAGATAGATAGATAGATAGATAGAGGAAGTCCCCAAGTTACAAACATTCAACTTACAAATGACTCATAGTTAAGAACGGAGTGAGACAACAGGAAGTGAGAGAAGTCTATCCCTAGATATGGTAATTCACTCCTAAAAGAGGTATCATGGGAAAAAAGATGTCTCAACTGAAGCCTTATCACCAATCCTTGTTTCCACAACATGTCACATTTTTCAAAATCCAATTATCACAGGGACAGAAAGTGAAGGGAAATCTTCTGAACAAGGGCACAGAGAGCAAAACAAACACCACAGGTTGGTGACCCTTCCCTATGCTATCCAAAGGTGGCTGGAGTTACACTTTAAAATTTATCTGTTCCAACTTACATATAAATTCAACTTAAGAATAAACCTAGAGAACCTTTTCTTTTCATAATGTGGGAGCTGCCTGTATATGGTTCTTTTGCTAACTACCACCCACAAATTGCAACAGCACTCAGTAAGTGCTATACTAGGGAATGGGAATATAGAGTTCTCCCTTATCTTAACACTACAATTCATTCTAAGAAAACCAAGCATCAAAATTATGTTTTGTAACCCCCTTGATCCCACACTAATTATACATTTGATTTTATGCAATATAATTAAAGAAAGGGTTCTTGGTTATGAGGAATAGATAAACTAGACCAATTTATAAAGCCCAGAAAAATTTCTTGCTATTTTTTATAAAATAGATCGTAACACCTGACATCTAAAAATCTTTAAGTCTGGTGAGATGCTGATGTCTTTGTTTTCTGATAGGTCCCCTGTACACAAATTTTCCTTCATGGGCAAAATTAATTTTATAAATGTTGTATAAAATTACCTTCAGGCTATGTGTATAAGATGTATATGAAACATAAATGAATTTCATGTGTAAACTTGGGTCACATCTCAAAAATATTTTACATATATGCAAAAACAGGAATTCCAACATCCAAATTTTTTTTCATCCCAAGAATTTTGGAAATCAGTACATCACTCATGCCTTCTATTCTGGTTTAAAATGGTAACTTTAAATCTATCCCCCCCCCTCCCCCGCTTCACATTTCATTTATTACATTTGAAAATCTCCCCCTATATTATTTAGAGGGCTATTTATAACAACAGCAAAAGTTCCACCATATAAATGTTCATTTACTAACTTTAGAAGTAGTTTTTGTAACTGAGAAGTTACCTGAAGAACAAGAATTATACCTCACCTTTCCCTTCACTAAAATTGATGCTGCATTCCAGTATACAGTTTTCGAGGAATAAACCCTGTTAAACTCAGTATTGCTATCATCTGTGTTTATATGCACAGAGTCTACTTTACAAATACATATGTTCTTAGAAGACTTAGGAAAATCAATGCATATGCTTATATTTGTGCTTTGTCACATTTGGCATGTTGGACTTCTGACTGCCATTTTGGTTAATTTTGAACTAGGGTGGTTCTTCTTTTCTTTTTTTTCTTTTGAGAGGTTCTGTATGCATGGGAAAAGTAGACCATCACATTTGTAGCTGGTTTTAGGTGTTTGGGGCCAATCCTGAAGCACAAAATCCACTAAAATTGATGGTTTGTTGTTTTTTTAAACTTTGAGTCTGGAGACCTTGGGAAGTTTCTGCTGCATTTCAGAGGAGCACTTGTGGTCACAAGGACTGCACTTTGCCCACCCCCACCCCCCATTATATAACACCAGAGGCCCTAAGTGGCAAACACACACTCCAGTGAGATGTGAAAGGTCCTATTCTCCAATCTGGTACCATCAAAGTACCAGATACTTCTCACTTTAAGTATTACACAGGAAATGGGTGCAGCGGGATATGTATTTTCTTTTTCTTCTGTCTTGTAAACTACCGTAATGTCCAAGCATAACCTTTTGTTATGATGCTGGAAAGGGCTTTTATAAAGGGTATTAATGCCTGGTAAAATCTTATAGACTGCTTCGCATCTCCAGTTTTTTCACCACTATGCTTTCACAATCTTGCCTCTGATGCTACTAAACATGATTTGGAGCTGAAATAAGGCACAGAATATTACCTTCATGATGGGGAGAAGATCTTCCACTTTATGAACTTGTTCCAGTGCTTCTCGAACTTCCAACAGTTCTTTGTGGTTATTTGCACTAAAATAAGTTAAAACCACTTACATACAATATCTTAACTTGGTCTTACTTTTACATTAACAACATACAAAGGTTATTATTTTTAAATGAAGCATTTTAACAAGATGGCTCATAGCATATATTCTTTAGCCGGCATAAGCTACATAATTTATTTAATGTCTGCATTCAGGTGCAATACTGAATCTTAGCTTAGTTCTACAATGACCAGTCTACATGACCCTTGTTCTTAGGCTCATGCCCTCTAACCTCCCTTCAACTCCTGTGCATTTCTGAAAAGATACAATTACTTTGTTTTCAGCAAACATACCTTGAATTTTCTGATTGACAAAGAGGAACAAACAACTTTTAAGCTTCCAACAGGGCTTTTAATTGGTTCATACAAAAACTGTAGCTAAAATCTGATTGCAGATTATTCTGATCCACACATAATGTTTACTGTGATAAGTTTCTATTTGTAGAGTTGTATTTAACAAAAAAAAAGTATCAAAAGTGCTGAAGGCAGCAGACATAATTCCTGCTACATCCATTTTGCACCAGCTACTTTGGCTGCTTATTCTTTTCTAGATCCTACTCCGGCCGGCTCAGTTTTTAATAATGTCTTGTTGTATTGCTATTGTTTTATTGTTTCTCTGCTTAACTGTTTTATTTGCTATGTATTGTATTGTTGTATTGTGTTGGGCTCCGGCCTGTTGTAAGCCGCATCGAATCCCTTGGGAGATGCTAGCGGGGTACAAATAAAGTAATAATAATAATAATAATAATAATAATAATAATAATAATAATAATAGATCCTCTGAAATTAGGCTTTAACGTTTATTTAAAGAATGACCTGTACAAGCACATTTAGAGCTGAAGATAGTATGAAGTTTTACCACCTGAAAGACCTGTGAGATTCTTAGTTAACAACTAATATGATTTTGGCTTTTCTTGTTTTTGTGTGGTGGGGATGTTGCAACCTAACCTCTGGGTGTTTAGGTAAACTTGCCTTCATCTTATTTAGATTATAAAAAGTTGTAGACACAATTTGTAACATTAGCTGACAGTTCTTGGGATGGCATATAAATATTTAAACATTCCATATGAACAATACAAGGAATAGTTTTTTACCTGTGATAAACAAGGATTCTTTCTTTGACAAAATGAAGCATCTTTGCAAAATATTCAGTGTATCTCATGTTAATCACCTGCCCCCTGTAAAGATGAACGTTTTAAAAATGGGATAGTGAATACTGTGATAACATTTGAACATTGCCAATGTAAGGACATCTACAACACTGGAGGACACACTTTGCTCAAGGGAAGATATTTCAACACACATCTGCTTCATATAGAGCATTCCAACTATAGTTCAATGTACAGATTTACTTTGAATTTAGCATAATCACATACGGTTTAGGCCTGTACTTGTGGACACAGTCCCTTGCACTTGTAATTGCTGATTGTGACGAACACTGATAATGGCTATGAATGTTCACTACAACTAATCACCTTGAAAAGTCTGTACTAAGCTTCCAGTCTGAACACTATTTTGAGGCTCTTTTGTTGTTCATTAGTTCAGTTGTTTCCGACTCTTCATGACTTCATGGACCAGCCCACACCAGAGCTCCCTGTCGGCCGTCACCACCTGCTTCAAGGTCAATCCAGTCACTTCAATGATGCCATCGGTCCATCTTGGATGGATGGTTGGCCCTTCTTCCTTTTTCCTTCCATTTTCCCTAGTATAATTGTCTTCTCTAAGCTTTCTTTTCTTCTCATGATGTGGGCAAAGTACTTCATCTTTGCCTCTACTATCCTTCGCTCCAATGAGCAGTCGGACTTTAGTTCCTGGAGGATGGACTGGTTGGGTCTTCTCGCGGTCCAAGTCACTCTCAGAACTTTCCTCCAACACCACAGTTCAAAAGCCTCTATTTTGAGACTTATTATTTGACATTTTCTGGAGGGGTGTGTGCTTTGACTATGTTGCTGCATAGCAGGGACTTGGATGGGATGGCCCTTGTGGTCTCTTTCAGCTCTATGATTCTATACTCCATGACAAAAGGAGGCTATAATTTGTTTACAATGTGCAAAGCAGGCATTATTCAATGCTAGAAGAAAATGTTACAGGCCAAGATTTACAAAAAACATAAACAGATTCTTTGACACAAATGTTGCAATTTCAAAATATACAATTCTGGCACAACCTCTAATGAAAACCAGTGTTACTACAGAGCCATACCTGATTAGATTGATGTGATTATTAAAGCCTCTGCTACGACTTTGAGCTGGCATTTGGTCTAACCATAGTACTGGCTGATCTGGGTCAGCTATCCTGCAAAAGAGACACCATTAATTGTATAAATGCAGATTCCTTTCCCATCCATCATGCTGCATTGCGTGACTCAGGATTCTAGTATTCATAACAAAGAGCGAAATATTTCTCCTTATCCATTTTCCCTGTGCTGTTTTCTAAATCTCTGTCACATCCATCTTGACTTATATCTTTTCCCTAAGGTAAAATGTTCTAGATGTTGTAAACTTTCTTAACAGAGAATTTGCTCAGTTCTCTTAATTATGTTCTTTTTCAACCCTACAATGCCTTTTGTGAAATGCAATAAACAGAAATACTGAGGGACCACAGGGATGTATATTCCTAATCCCCTCAATCTATGATGGCTGTGCTTTAATTAGGCAACAGTTGAAGCCTTTCAATACTGTAATACATAATCCACAGTTTATCCCTCACACTACTGATAATTGACAAAATTCATTCAGCTTAATATTTTTTTTCTTTATTACCTTCTCCATTTCACAGCAATGTCAAACATGTCTCTCCACTGCATCAGCCTGGTTTTCCCATTCATCCGTACTTTTGAGTTCACCCATGTTCGCTGTAGAGCTTGCATTACTTCTAGCACAGCCAGACCCATTGCTAAAAAAACACAGCAGATTACCACCAAAGACTATTCACATTTATACTTCATGTTTTAAAACACACCAGATTTCCCCTAAGATAACTTTATTCTAAACTCCCTAAAAGACTAAATTTCTCCAATGAAGTGTGCAAGGACGGCGATCTATATTAAAAGATGCAATGAAGTGAATGACAACATAAAATATGACTATTTAATATTATCAGGGTGGTTGCTGTCTCATGAAGTTTGTGCACACTGTGATAAATGAAAGCTTGTGAAAATAAGGATTTTTGCTTAATTAATTAAGGAGTTGGACTACAAGTCTAAAGCAAGCATGTCCTGCAGCTTTGCTTAAAATATCCATGTTTAGTCAGAGCAACAGTACATTTTTTCCTCATTATTAAGATAAACTTTTCCCAGCATACCTACCTCTATGTATTCTCTTGTTTGGAAGAAATCCAGGCATCTCATATTGTGTTAGCGACCCCAGGTGATCAGCTATACAGATCATCTCTTGCATTTCAGGTTTATAGTTTTCAAATTTCTGAAGCACCACATCCCTTTAAAACATGAACAAAACTCTGATGTTAAATAATAAGGGAGTTTGTTGTTTTATGCCTTTGAATCATTGCTGTCTTTGGCAAATCTATCATGGAGTTTTCTTGGCAAGATTTATTTAGAGGGAGATTTGCCTTTGCCTTCCTCTGAGGCTGAGATAGTATTACTTGCCCACTATATATACCATAAAACTCTAATTTACCACAAAGAAAAGCCAAGAACAGTTGCATTCAATAGTCAGGCTAGATGTACATTTGAAATACTTTTTCCAAACTTTTAGACAGTAAAAATATGAATCTGTTTACATGGCTAGCCAAAACAGATGGTTTCAAGACTATTCTTTTAAACTCAGTTCTTGTGGGTTTTTTCGGGCTATATGGCCATGTTCTAGAGGCATTTCTCCTGACGTTTCGCCTGCATCTATGGCAAGCATCCTCAGAGGTCTGCTGGAAACTGGGAAAAAAGGGGTTTATATATCTGTGGAATGACCAGGGTGAGACAAAGGGCTTTTGTAAGTTGGGCTAGGTGTGAATCTTTCCACTGACCACCTTGATTAGCATACAATGGGCTGACTGTGCCTGGAGCAAACTCTTCTTGAAAGGTGATTAGATGTCCCTGCCTGTTTTTCTCTCTGCTGTTTTTGCTGTTGCAATTTTAGAATTTTTTAATACTGGTAGCCAGATTTTGTTCATTTTCATGGTTTCTTCTTTTATTCTTTTAAACATTCTCAGCACAGAAGACTCAAATACTTGTATTTTACTCACTTTATATGAGGTTGCAGTCCTGGCTGTTCTTCATAATCTTCTATAAGAAATGGAAGATTTTTTGCCCAGTGATCCTTAAACTTTCCAGGAAGATCCATGTCTATATTGTATTCTGTAAGTGGGGTATCAAGGTGTGCATGCAAATAGCGAGAATACTCTGCGAAGGAAACAAAAATAAGTGTTTTTTTCTATACACCAATACTCAAGGTCCCCAACAAAATGTTATATGTAAGTATAATTAACAGTATCCATATATTTCACCATTTATGTATCACTTCTAGATATTCCTATCCAGCAAATGATTTACAGTTGCACAATGTGTTACACAACAAACAAGTTTATGTCTTTCTGAGTACATTCCAATCATTTCCCTCAATATTTGATCCTACTTGCACCACTGCAGCCATTGAAATTTCCTGTTTCCCCAAGACTACAGCAATGCCTTCCTTTCCTAAATCATACTTTTCTCATTGTCAAAATATAAAAGATCTATCAGGGTATATATGGACAACCGCATAAATTCATTTTTTATTAAGGAAAAAAAATACATCAAGCCTAAAACAAAAGGTAGAAGGGTATATTCAGGGGAAATGCAGTATGCAGCAACAAAAATTGAGTAGTGATGGCTCATTATCTTTACCCCTAAAATAATTTTACTAATATAAGGAGAATTCATACATTGCTATATACTTATTCTTAAAAACAAACACATAGAAAATAGTCCAATTATCTATCTATCTATCTATCTATCTATCTATCTATCTATCTATCTATCTAGCTATCTATCTATCTAATTGTTGGCATTAAAAACTAAACATGATTAACAAGTCTAAAAAGCTGTCCATGTTTAATGTATTGTCGAAGGCTTTTATGGCTGGAATCACTAGGTTCTTGTAGGTTTTTTCGGGCTATAGGGCCATGTTCCAGAGGCATTTCTCCTGACGTTTCGCCTGCATCCATGGCAAGCATCCTCAGAGGTAGTGAGGATGCTTGCCATAGATGCAGGCGAAACGTCAGGAGAAATGCCTCTGGAACATGGCCCTATAGCCCGAAAAAACCTACAAGAACCTACTGTCCATGTTTGTTTAAGAAATCTCAAGTTATTTTTCGGCTTATACTTCGAGATGTTATATACCAAACTTCAGAGGCAAAAGCAAAAGGCATAAGCTTTTTTAAAAAAAGATGTTCACAATCATGGTGCCTAACTGTATGCAACTGAACATAAGACAAGGAATATTTAGTTAGCTGCAACTTACCTCGGAGGTATTTTACTTTTAAGTATTCTGTACTAGCTTTCTGACCAGGCAAAGGGTCATTTAGCATAGCCTTAGTTTGAGCTTTGATTCCTTCATAAAACTGCCCCATAGCAACATGACTGAGGCCTTTCATATACTGACACACTTCATTATATGGCTCAAGTTGCAGACATCTCTAGAAAATATTGGGGGGTGGGGGGTGGAGAGAGATAACAAAAGAGATTGAATGTCTTAAGGAGGCAATAATGTGGTCCTCCAAATGTTGCCAAACAACCACTCCCATCCTTTCTCAACACTATACTGACAATAAGGTCACATTATTCCCACTTCCATAATACTTGTTTAAATATCAGATTTTTTTAAAAAAAACACAGAGACAACCAAGAGAAATGGAGCTATTTCCTAAAACCTATTTTAAACAGCTTTCTGTCCACCTAGTAAGCAAAAGCCAATCTTTTACAAATAATTCAGGATTATGACTTCTACAAACGAAAGACAGGCTTGCTCAGACAATTTTCATCTCAATAGCATAAATACAATCCTGATTGTTTCAACCAGGTGTCCATTTACCGCTTTGAGTCTCCTTTGTGGAGAGAAAAAGCAGGGTATAAATAAACAAAAGAAGAAATAGAGGAGGAGGAGGAGGAGGAGGAGTATGCTGTTCCTAGCTTTGGGGAGGCAGGTCTTTTGGAACGCCCCATAGAGGGGCAGGACAGCAATAGCTCATTCTGGTACTGCCTTGGGACATAGGGACACCATTAAGTTATAATAAAATAAAAAAATAAACCTGTTCCATCATGAATTGGTCTAATTCCCCTCTAAAACTAGAGATTGAAAGCTAAAGCAGTGTGGTATTCACCACAGAATGGCACTGAATAATAAAGAATTACACACCTCCTGGAGAATTTTTTTCTAAAAATACCAAAGACTTTCATTGAACAATCTTGCATTTCATGATTAATCAGCAGAATTGTGTTGATCCATTTACTAAACAGAGGTCTCAAGTCTCATTTAGACAATGTTTCAATTGTTTGTTTGTTTCTGCTCCTTCAAAAATCTATAATATTAACCTTTTTTTTTGAGACAGAACAAAAAGAAGTGAATAACCCTACCATTTAACACAAAGACATAATTATACTGGCAATGTTGTATTGAATCCTTTTCTGCTTCAGAATATGCTATTTCATCACCAAAAATAAAATTTCATGCACCTAATAAAGTGAAGTCTGGTCCATTAAAGCTTATGTTACAATACATTTCTTAGTATTTCCTATAAAAGAGTGTTTTCATTAGCAATGAACAGTAAGGTCGCCTTCTGCAGCTGGCAAATGGTAATTTTGTCAGTGCCGATTGTGTTTAAGTGCAGGCCAAGGTCTTTAGGTACTGCACCCAGTGTGCCGATCACCACTGGGACCACCTTTACTGGCTTGTGCCAGAGTCTTTGCAGTTCCAGCTTTAAATCCTTATATCATGTCAGCTTTTCCAGTTGTTTCTCTTCAATCCTGCTGTCGCCTGGGATTGCAACATCAACGATCCATACTTTGTTTTTTAACACAATTGTGAGGTCAGGAATATTATGCTTCAAAACTCTTGTCAGTCTGAATTCAGATGTACCAGAGTAGTTTGACATTTTCATTTTCTATAACTTTTTCAGGTTTGTGATTCTACCAGTTCTTTGTCACAGGCAGATGGTATCTGTGGCACAAGTTGCAATGAATCATCTGAGCAACGGTGTTAAGCCTCTGCTTGTAGTCTGTCTGCGTGATCTTCTTGCAGCAGCTGAGAATGTGATCTGTCATTTTGTCTGCTTCCTTGCAGAGTCCACATTTGGGATCTGTCAACTTTTCAATTCTGGCTTTGATGGCATTTATTGTAATTGCCTGTTCTTGAGCTGCAAGAATCAGGCCCTCTGTCTCCTTTTTAAAAATTTCATTTATGAGCCACAGCCATGTTTTTTCTTTGTCAATTTTGCTCTCAATTTTCCCCAGGAACTGTCCGTGGAGAGTTTTGCCAGTTTTTTTTTGCCAGTTCTTTTGCCAGTTTCCTCTTCTGCTCCGCATTGTATTTTTACGGGATTCACTTTTTGTCGTTTGCACTTTAAGCAGTTTTCTATTCACTACCATCAATGTTGGTTCTTGACTGGTTATAATTTATTATCATTATATTTATTGATACCCCGCTTTATCTCTCCCAAAGGAGACTCAATACATAAAAACTATTTGAAAATAAATATCAAACGATACAATATAAAGGTTGCAGTGTACCCCAAATGCACCAGTGCTCACCTTAAAGTTCTTAAGAGCTTCATCTGGGCTTCCATGATGATAAAGCATCATTCCCCCAAGCTGTATGGTCTGAACATGGTTCTGATTTAGCATCAATGCCTTCTGGAAGTTTTCTGTAGCAGCTTCAAAGTTACCGAGCTCTCTAACATCAAACACAAGTGTCAAATGAACAGCAAAAAGCAACAAGTAAGTTACATAGGTGCTAAAATTCATTATTGTATAAACCAATCAGTACATTTTCAGTTTTTTCAACTGGAATCATGTATATTAAATGAGATCTACTTATTTCAGTGGGGCTTACTCCAGATGCATTATCAATTAAAAAACTCAAGATGTTCATAATGGGGGGAGGACCTATCAGGTGACAAAGAATATTTCTACAATACAATAATCTTAAACCATAACTCCACATTAAACTATTGAAAGTAAGTTGTAAATTCGTGATATAAAAGTTTTAAACATAAACTGATACATTATCTGAGAAACTGATCAGGTCAGTGTAATGCAGTGTGGTTGAAAACCACATTCTATATATATCTCAACTTGTGAACTGACTTTGCAAATTCATACTGAATTAAAGAATTTTGAAGTTACTTACCGATAGGCCTGCCCCAGACTTTTATATGCATCTACAAAATCTGCTTTCTGCTTCAGGGCTTCTTTGAATGACTCAATAGCCTCCTGTTTGAAGCACAATTGGTAATTATTGTTAGTTCTATTGAGATCAAATACTTCTCGTGAGATTTAAGAAGAATCCGGTAAATTTTTCATGGAAAACCTGCATCATGTCTTGGTTAGTCAACCAGTGGGCACCAGAAATGAAAAAGGTTTGTGAAACTCACTGGGTGACCTCTGATAAGTCACACTCTCTCAGCCTCAGAGAAGGCAATAGCAAACCACTTCTAAACAAATCTTGCCTAGAAAAACCTGTGAGAGTTTTGCCTTATTATTGCTGTAAGTCAGAAGCAACTTGAAGGCACACAACAATCAAGCCAGTGACAAACATTTATCAGGGGACACGGTTCAATAATATAGCATGTGCTTTCTACACAAAAAAGCAAGGCCTGAAATTCAATCCATCATATCATTAGTGAAAATAATTCTGAGTCACTGGAAAAATACTGGTCTGGCAAAGCAAAATAGGTTCATGAAGCAGACTCTACTATCCCAGCATTAGGCATTGTATAAACATGGAATTCCACAATCATTCGAAAATAATTACCTTTAGAAGCCCTCTGTGAAAAAATGTTAAACCTTTGTAGAGCATGGCTATAGGCTGGTTTCTGTTCAATTCAAGTGAGTTCTGAAAATCTTCCTGAGCTGTTGTATAGTCCTATTTCACACACAAAAAACTTTTATTACACAAAAGTGCTAGATCTGACTCACAAAGACAAGACAAATTCTTTGCATGCAAATCATACTGTCTCTTCCACAAACATTTCATAAATTAAAAAAGAAAGAAGAACAGTCTAATTACATGTTAATTTCAGATTTAAGTACACATTCAATTCTATAGGGCTTATGTCTGAGTATGCACAAGGCCACTCTGCAGTAGACAATGTGTTCAGTCTATTCTTATGCATGATGAAAAAAGTTAATGCCTATAAGAAAATGGGCCAGTGAGTCATAAAGCACCACAGGTGAAAGCTGGTTTAAACAGAAGGTACCAGTTATTGTGATCCACCCTGAGTCCCCTGCGGGGTGAGAAGGGCAGAATATAAATACTGTAAAATAAATAAATAAATAAATAACTCCCAAACAATTCTATTTAAAAGGACATGTACATTAACTCTCAGCAGAATTGTGGTAGGTTTCAATAGGACCATTGAGAATGAACCAAGCAAAAAAAAACTGGCACCAATCAAAGAAAGAAAGGAGATGCACAGAAAAAAAATGCAGTGTCTCAACACAGAGATTTAAAAATAGGATGAAAATTGGCTTTCATGAATGCTCCTTGAAGAAACACTCTGGCCCTGGATAAACCTTTTCCCAATACATCTAGACCAGTGATCCCCAAATTTTGTACTCCGACTCCTAGAAAACTCAGCCACTTTAAACAAAGATTAGCGATTCTGAGAGGTGAAGTCCCAAACATTTGGAGTACGGCAGTCTAGGAATTACTGATCTTGATGTTTCATCCCTCCTTTTCTTTGAAAACTCCCCTAGCTCTATGACTAGATGTGTCTAATTGGAAACTAACCTCAGATATGAAGTAAAGAGTACCTCTATGCCGGTAAAGTCGTGCTGATGGCTTTAGCTGAATAGCTTTAGTGAGGTCAGCCAGTGCTTCACCAATCCGACCCAGAGGGGACAATATCTGTGCATTCAAGATAATACTTTAGCCTAATAAGAACATGAAAGCAATGTTTCCTTTTTCTAGACTATTCAAAATCACAATATGTAAGATTTATGTACAAATCTTTAAATTTTAATTGAAGCCCCAAATAATGTAATAAATGCATCACTCTGTACAGAAGCTGCTGTACATTAATATTCAGGAATTAATTATACCTCTTTAATCTTTAACACCAACACCAATTAATGCTTTCAAACATTTAGTGACTGAAGAAATAAAGGAGGTTTTGAAATAGAATTTCTGGAATTTCTTTCAAGTCTCTTTGTGTTTCTTCTAATAAGCACGTGATGTTATAACAGCCCAAAACATCTACATTCTCTTTGAAGACTGGGAACTACAAGCACAGGTTTAATTATGCTGTTTAGTTCCTTCACAAAACATTTTAATTAAATGTGACTTAAATCTTTTGCAAAGATCACTACAGCCTACTGAAAACAACCATGTTTTTCCTTAATGCATTAAGAACTGGGTATTCAACTTTAATTGAAATTAACTTCAAACTACATTTAGTTCCCCATAACTTGTAAATGTGTACAAGTGACACATTTACAAGCACATTCGGAAGTTGTTTAGAGAATAGGGTATTACAGAATTTGACCAAACAGTCTGAATAATTACTATGGATTAATTAATAAGTATGAAATCAAGACTCGGCACTATATGTTTTTAATCTGTTTTATTGTTCTATGTGTTTCAGTTTCTCATATGTTTTAACTGTTTTATAATCTGATAGGGTACATTTTTATTGTTATGTCTATATGCAGCACTGAATTTTTGCCTGAGTTTGTAAGCTGCCTTGAGTTTTTTGCAGGTAGAGAAAGGTGGGGTATAAATGAAGTAAATAAATAAATAAGTGGTAACACATAACAACAACAACAACAACAACAACAACAATAATAAAAACTTTATTTATACCCCGCCACCATCTCTCCAAGGGGACCCGGGGCGGCTTACATGAGGCCAAGCCCAACAACACATCAGTAAAAACAAAACAGCAAGCAAATAAAACAGTACAATTAATATAACTCACATATAAACAATAACACAGAGAATTTAAAACCTTATGGCCAGGCCAGATGTAATAAATTAAAAAAATTTAAATAAACACTCGGCATGTTTATCTGGCAATCAATTTGGACAGTGTTTTTAAAAAGGATTGATGTTGGGGGTGCTCTGGGAAGTAATAACAAACTGCTGTGTTTGCAGCAACTTGGCATGATTTTCAAGCAAAAAGGGGGGGGGGGGAAATCCAACTGTAGCACAATGGGGGCCACAAAGGTGAAGGTCAGTAGCCACATGTGACACTTGAGCCATGCTTTTCCTGCCCCTGTTTTAAAAGTACTTTCAAGAAGAAAAAAAACAGGTAATAACTGGGAAGCTACTAGCAAACAAAAACAGATAACTTAATTAATTATAGATAACAGAAGGTCATCTAAAAGACTCAAAAAAGTTACCTCTGCTCGCTGTTCAAACACTTCAGGGTGATCTGGAGCCAGACTAATTACTCTGCTTAGCTCAAACAATGCTAGTTCTGCATTTTTTCTATCCTTAAAAATAGAAAATAATGTATGTAATCAACAGCACAAGCTTAATCAGAGTAGCACTACAATTTAAATGGAACAGTTTCAAGTGAATAAAATTGCTTTGACCATGATATTTATGCCTACTAAATATAATGAGCTTTTGATTCTTCAAATTACAGCTCAAAATACATTTTCAAATATGCGGACATATGACATAGATTTTACAGTACAGTATAGCAAAATATAGTAACAGTGGTTTATATATCAGCCTCAGTCACAAATATGCATCACCAAAGTTCATAGCAAAATGTTTCAGTTAATCCAAACATATCTTGAACCAATTGGTGCCCTTGAGTTCTGGCTATTCAAATATTAAAATGTTATTGTAATATGACACAAATATGATACTCACATGCAGCCCTTTCCTTCCATATGCTATCCCTCGTCCATAAATTGCACTAACAAGCTCCGGTTGTTCCTATTTGGAGAAAAATAAAAGTTATCTTAGAAGGTTCTGTTTTAATAGCAAATGTTACATCTTGAAAAGCCATCATCCCCAGTCCATATTTACACAAACTATTTTACACAAATAAATTTACGCAAACTATTCAGACAGGGGGCTATGGCGTGGACTGGTCCATGAGGTCACGAAGAGTTGGAAGCAACTGAATGAATAAACAACAACAAAATTCAGAAGTGTGCTTAGGTGTTCTACATGCAGTGTGTCTGCACAAGTCTAAAGAGCAATTTATTCAACAATTTGACAGAGACATTGTTTATAGGGGAAACTGCTCTGGTTTGCCAGTTTGCCTGGATATGGTTTGCCTGGATATGTGCGCATGCATACATCCCTTAGTTGTTTGCACTATATTTTCCAACTCTTTATTCTTATTAACTGCAGCCTATTTCCTACCTGATGGCGACTGTTTATTTCGGACTACTTCTTTGTTACGCTGTAGGCTCAGACCTCATGTATTTAAAATATAGGTATATACAGGAAGTCCCCAAGTTACAAACATCCAAATTACAAATGACTTGTAGTGAAACAACACGAAGTGAGAGGAAATCTACCCCTTGGAAGGGAAATTCACTCCTGAAAGAGTTCTCATGAGGGAAAGGTGCCTCCACTGAAGCTTTATCATCAATCCTTGTTTCTACAACAAACCAAATTCTTCAAAATCCAATTCTCACAGGGACAGAAAGTGAACTGAAATCTTCTGAACAGGGGCATAGAGCACACAATAAACGACACAGGCTTTGAGTAAACCACAGATAAGGGAATACCTATAAAAGAATACTGTGTCAAGTTCTGGGTACCTCAATTGAAAAAGGATATTGATAAGCTAAAAAGTGTTCAGGGAAGAGTGACCAAAACTATCAACGATCTGGAAACCAAGTGTTGAGACTCAGCGTCTGTCTCATGCACCTACTACTAGTAGTAGAAGGAAACGTAGGTTAGAGAATGATGAAGCTCAGCAGCAGCTGAAAAGGATAATACTAGTAGTAGAAGGAAACGTGGTTTAGAAGATGAAGACGCTCAGCAACAGCTGAAACGTATTAGAGACTTGTTCTTAGAGACTACGGATGAGGAAGATTTTGAGGGTTTTACTCCCGAGGAAATGGAGCTGGAGGATTACCGCGGTGTAAAGCGAGTAGCCAGCAGCTCGGATAGTGATGTGGGATCTGTTGCTAAACGCTTGAGAGATGTTGCAGACTGTGGGGAGTTTGACAGCGAAGAGGAAGAGCTGGACTGGACTAAAGTCCAGGAAGTAATGGATGTAATTAACGCTCCCACGTCTAGTGATGAATTCCAGGGTTTTGATAATAACTGGGTTGGAGATAACTCTTTGCAGGATGGAACTCGAAGTGCTGACTGGCAGCAATGGCGTGGTGTGGATTCACCTGAGGAATTGGACCCAGCTGATGGCAGTTCCAGCGACTCGGATGAGATTTAAGCAGCAGCTTGGGGACAGTCTAATCGCAGAGTTCAAGGTGTCGCATGCCGTGTGCCTTGTGTGTAACTCCTGCCCTGAGTTCTTGTTACAGCTTCGTGTCTCCTGATCGTGTGAACAACCCTGCTGGTTCCAGACTCGTGAGTCTTCCCTGTTTTGACCTTCGGATTGCCTGACTACGCCTCTGCTTTATCCTGGAAACTTCGTTGGACCGCTCTTCATGCAAACTGTTGTTTGCTGTTCTGTTTGTCTTCAATTCGGACTAAAGTTTCCCTGCTGAAGTTAAGCTGCCTGCTTCTGTTTTGAACTGACTTTCCTTTTGTCAGCCGTGGCTGACTGAGACCAGTTTGTTTACATTTCTGCTGACTGCAAGCCTCCTTTGTTTATCACTCTGAACTGAAGAGTCTCCTTTTGTTTTGTTAATGGACATTAAACACCTACTTTAACTCCATCGGTGCCGTGTGTGTTGCTGACTGCTCTGGGTCTTGACACCAAGCCCTATCAGAAAGGCTTAGGGAGATAGATAGGTTTCGCTTGGAAAAAAAGAAGGGCGAGAAGGGGACAAAAACAGTCATGTTTAAATATTTGAAGGAATGTCACGTTGAGGGGAAAAGCTTACTTTCTGCTGCTCTGGAGACAAGGACACAGAGCAATTCAAATTGCAGGGAAACAGATTCCTCTAAACACTAGAAAGAATTTCCTGATGGCATGAAATGTTCAACAGTGGAATATGCCAGCTTGAAACATGGTGAAGTTGTCTTCTCTAGAGATTTTTAAGCCAAGGTTGGATGGCCATCTGTTGGGAGTGCTTTGTGCTTTTGCTGCATTGCAGGGGGGTTGGACTGGATGGCTCTTGTGGTCTATTACAACTCTATGATTCTATGATCTGCATGCCTAAGGACACTTCTGCATGGAGAGGTCTCTAACAGAATTATGCCCAGATACTTTCTTTCCTGTGCTTAAGTCACTGAAAATAAGCTGAGAAGTTTGCCCCTTCCATCATTCTTTCCAAGAAAGGCAGGTGTCCTGTTTAGGGAAATTCAATCATGGAAATATAAAATGCCAATGGTGCAAAGGAGTGAAAGATTACCTGGAGCATTGTTGAGAACTGCTGTATTGCTTCATCATAAAGGCCACTGCTGATTAACACATAGGCGATAGCTGCCAAAATAGTGCTACAAGTTACTAAAACAAGCTTCCATGAATTTCAGTTTTATCACATATATAAAAATATTCTTAATAAAACTAAACAGGGATACCAGAGCACTGACAATCAAATTTCAAGACCTAATTTCCTAACTAGTCAAACTTTACTATCACAAGTCTCTTTCCAGCTTCTCTAGAACAAGTTTATCAGAAAATATACAAGAAAAAATGAAAGTGGTGTGGAGAAATGCAGATCAAGTATTGCCCATTCCTGATCAATAATCACTACTCAACTTACCTAATTCTTCATTTGTACTGTCATCATCAGTAGCAAATGGAAATCTTTTTTGTTCTGCAAGTGATTTCGCTTGACTCTGGAAAAACATTTAATAATATAAACTGACATTACCAAAATAAAAATCAAAGGAGCAACCCCATCTAACCACTCCAGGTGTATCAATTTCAATGCAAAAGAGCTTAAGCATTCGTGTGTCTCCACAACTGAAACCAACATGTCTGAAAACTTAACTTTCATTGGATTTTGTCCAACATTCATGGCTTGTCAAAATTTAGTGCTAGACAAGATAAGGCTTGATCTTCCATAATATGTGTGAAGTCACGCTTATTTTTAGGAAACAAGTTTGTACAGTTTCAGTGACATTCAAGGTGCTGGTTTCTGTTCAGTATTGCAATGTATATGCTCTTCAAATAGTTGGAGTAATCAAATAAGTTGAGATTTGCATAATGCTGATGATCTATAATTTAAGAATTAGGTTATGGGGATAAACAATACACTAGTTTGCTAACTGGAGCCATATTGTGAGAGGATGACTCCCATGCTGCAACAACTCCACTGGTTGCCGGTCAGATTCTGGGCTAAATACAAAGTGCTGGTCATTACCTGTAAATTCCTAAATCGTTTGGGTCCAAGCTATTTGTGTAATCACATCTCTCTGTATAAACCATCACATGCACTTAGGTCCACAGAGGAGGCCCTCCTCTCAGTCTCATCCCCATCACAAGCTTGGCTGGTGGAAACAAAAGAGGGGGCCTTCTCTGTAATCGCTCCCCATCTCTAGAACACCCTCCCTAAAGAAATAAAAAGAGTCCCCACCCTCTTCTCCTTTAAGAAACTTCTAAAAATGTACCTATGCACTTTAGCATATTGAGAAGAGGATTAGGACTGCTGGCTAATCTACGTGTATTAGATGGCTGTAATGGTATGTCTTAAATGTAGCACCATTGTCAGCGATTTTTAATGTAATGCCTCATAATTTGTTTTTAGGGTGTACATTGTAATGTTTATTTATGATTTAGCTTTTATGTCTTGTTTTTGATTTTGTTTTATTTTGATGCTTACTTTTGTTGTAAATTTTCTGTTGTTACTCTTCATTATTTTGTACTATACATGTAAACTGCCCTGAGTCCCTCCGGGGAGAGAGGATGGTCTAGAAATAAAGTTTTATTATTATTATATTATAGAGCAGCCATATCATTAGGCAGTGAGACATCAGCCAATGTGCTTTGGGGTATCCTTGAAAGAAGTTTTCTATTCCTAACAGGCAGGGGCACCAGCGGACTAACTCGCCTAAGATGCCAAAACAGACTGTCCTTGGATACAACAAAAGAGTGGAGAATACCATCTGCTGCTCTGATTCAGGCAGCAAAAATGGTTCGGCCCAGCCTACTTGGGAAACTGCATCTCCTCCTACCAGCCTACACAAGCTCATCAGGAGAGGTCCTTCTCTCGGTCCCACCACCATCACAAGCCCGGTTGGTGGGAACGAGAGGGTCTTCTTGGTGGTAGCACCTTCCCAAAGAGGTGTGATCGGCCCTCTCTCTACTGGCATTTTGTGCACAGTTCAAAACCTTCCTGTGGAAGCAAGACTTTCCCAATAGCCTATATGAAATGATCAGGCTGTGACAGATAAGGCAGATCAATGAACACTATCTCAGACTTGACAACATATATACAGCCTTAACAGACAGAGCTTTAGGATTTTTATTTATTTATTTATTTATTTGGTACACTTATATACCGCTAACTTCTCAGCCTGGATCGGCGACTCAGTTGCGGTTTACAGCATTTAAAATCAATCTCCAGTTTAAAAACATATACAAAATACAATTACAAATTACAATAGCAAATTATTGGGCCACCAATAATAATCCCATATGTCTCAAGTTGAAATCACAGTCCACAATTCATTGTCCATATTTCTGTCCAAGGTCACCCAGATTCGAATCGGTTTCCACAGATTTTTAACATAATTTTTTATGGATGACCTCAGTAGCCTGAGGCCCAGAGAATTCTAGTGGTACATGTTGTCTTTATTAACTTTGTTGTCTATGGTTTATGCAATTGTGTTATCTGTTTATCAGTTTTAGCTTGCTTTGTGTCATGTAATTTCTGCCGTTTTAATAACTGTTTGCTGCTTTGAGTCCCACCCATGGGAGAAAGGTGGGATAAAAATAAATATTTTAATGGCCATGCCACCCATCGTCCAGATATTGGAACACCTGTGCAAGTGCTCATTTTCGCTGTTCCCTCGCCTGCTGCCTGCTGCTTCTGGCCACTTATTCCAACAATCCACTTTGGTTGGGATTAAATGTTTACTTTTAAGATGTTTTGTTGTATTTTTATTGAGTTGCTTCATTCATTGTGTAATTGATATGTCATCAACCCACTTCGGCTGGGATTGAATGTTTACTTTTAAGCTTTTTATTGTATTTATATTTGAATTGTTCAATTGATATGTCATGTTTTTTACCGTATGTTTAAATTGATGTGCTAATTGTTTAAATTGATATATCATGTTTATTATTATATGTGTAGTGCGGCATTATATGCCATGGTCTGTAAGCAGCCCTGAGTCCCCCCCTGGGGTGAGAAGGGCAGGGTATAAATGTAGAATAATAATAATAATAATAATAATAATAATAATAATAATAATGACCCAAAATGCAGACTTTGCAAAGAAGCTGATGAAACCATGGACCATATCCTAAGCTGTTGCAAGAAAATCGCACAGATGGACTACTAACTCTGTGGCCCAAATGATTCATTGGAACTTATGTCACAAGTACCACCTGCCAGGAGTAAAGAACTGGTGGGATCATAAACCCACAAAGGTCGTGGAAAATGTAACATGCAAAAATCCTGTGGGAGTTTTGAATCCAGACTGACAAAGTTTTGGAACACAATACACCAGACATCACGATTGTGGAAAAGAAAAAAAGTTTGGCTTATTGATGTCGCCATACCAGGTAACAGTCGCATTGAGGAAAAACAACAGGAAAAACTCAGCCGCTATCAGGACCTCAAAATCAAACTGAAAAAGGCTCTGGCATAAACCAGTACAGGTGGTCCCAGTAGTATTGTCGAAGGCTTTCATGGCAGGAATCACTGGGTTGTAGGTTTTTTCAGGCTATATGGCCATGTTCTAGAGGCATTCTCTCCTAACGTTTCACCTGCATCTATGGCAAACATCCTAAGAGGTAGTGCGGTCTATTGGAACTAGGAAAATGGGTTTTATATATCTGTGGAATGACCAGGATGGGACAAAGAACTCTTGTCTGTTGGAGCTAGGTATAAATGTTTCTATTGATCACCTTGATTACCATTTGATGGCCTGGCAGTTGTTTGGTGTGGCTTTTTGGTGCCTGGGGCAATCTTTTGTTGAGAGGTGATTAGTTGTCCCTGACTGTTTCCTGTCTGTTGTTTTGCTGTTGTAATTTTAGACATTGACAAAATCACAGTCTGTTACTTGCAAAAGGTCACCTTACTTGGATCTGTGCGTATCATTCAAAAATACATCACACAGCCCTAGACCCCTGGGAAGTGTTCAACTTGTGACTTTGTGATACGAAATCCAGCATATAGATCTCATTTGCTGTGACATACTGTGTTTTCATCATCATCACAATTTAATAACTTATTAATCGCCCTCCATCCGAGAATGCTCTAGGCAATTTACAGCTAAATTATAAAAGATAAAATAGATACATACAAAAATTAAAAATTAACAGAGATCAAATGCTCTAGTAAAAAGCCAGGTCTTAAGTGCGAGAGTAAAAGGCCCTAAGTCATGCATGGCTCTCATGTAGGGCGGCAAGGAATTCCACAAGGCAGGGGCAGAAATAGAAAAAGCCCTGCGCCTGGTCCTTTCCAAGTGCACTTCTCTAGGACCCGGTATATGGAGTAAGTCACGTTGGGCTGGTCGTTGCGACCTCCGATGATGGGAGAAGGAGAGGCGGTCCCTAAGGTACGATGGACCCTGGCCGTAAAGAGTTTTAAAGGTCAGAACTAGCATCTTATACAGGCCATGGTACTCAGTTGGAAGCCAATGTAAATGTTGCAGCACTGGTGTTATATGGCATTTCATGGGCGTTCTTGTGAGTAACCTGGCTGCCGCATTCTGAACAATACAAAGCTCAGTTCTTGTGGGTTTTTTCGGGCTATATGGCCATGTTCTAGGGGCATTTCTCCTGACGTTTCGCCTGCATCTATGGCAAGCATCAATAACATAGAATCATAGAATCAAAGAGTTGGAAGAGACCTCATGGGCCATCCAGTCCAACCCAAGAAGCAGGAATATTGCATTCAAAGCACCCCTGACAGATGGCCATCCAGCCTCTGTTTAAAAGCTTCCAAAGAAGGAGCCTCCACCACACTCCGGGGCAGAGAGTTCCACTGCTGAACGGCTCTCACAGTCAGGAAGTTCTTCCTAATGTTCAGATGGAATCTCCTCTCTTGTAGTTTAAAGCCATTGTTCCGCGTCCTAGTCTCCAAGGAAGCAGAAAACAAGCTTGCTCCCTCCTCCCTGTGGCTTCCTCTCACATATTTATACATGGCTATCATATCTCCTCTCAGCCTTCTCTTCTTCAGGCTTAACATGCCCAGTTCCCTAAGCCGCTCCTCATAGGGCTTGTTCTCCAGACCCTTGATCATTTTAGTCGCCCTCCTCTGGACACATTCCAGAGGAGGGAATCTCAATATCTCTCTTGAATTGTGGTGCCCAGAATTGGACACAATATTCCAGATGTGGTCTAACCAAAGCAGAATAGAGGGGTAGCATGACTTCCCTAGATCTAGACACTAGGCTCCTATTGATGCAGGCCAAAATCCCATTGGCTTTTTTGCCACATCACATTGTTGGCTCATGTTTAACTTGTTATCCACAAGGACTCCAAGATCTTTTTCACACGTACTGCTCTCGAGCCAGGCGTCACCCATTCTGTATCTTTGCATTTCATTTTTTCTGCCAAAGTGGAGTATCTTACATTTGTCACTGTTGAACTTCATTTTGTTAGTTTTGGCCCATCTCTCTAATCTGTCAAGAGGTGAGGTCTGTTGGAACTGGGAAAGGGGTTTATATATCTGTGGAATGACCAGGGTGAGACAAAGGACTTTTGTCAGTTGGGCTAGGTGTGAATATTTCAACTGACCACCTTGATTAGCATACAATGGGCTGACTGTGCCTGGAGCAAACTCTTCTTGAAAGGTAATTAGATGTCCCTGCCTGTTTCCTCTCTGCTGTTTTTGCTGTTGCAATTTTAGAATTTTTTAATACTGGTAGCCAGATCTTGTTCATTTTCATGGTTTCCTCCTTTCTGTTGAAATTGTCCACATGTTTGTGTATTTCAATGGCTTCTCTCTAAAATGTGCACGAAACGTCAGGAGAGAATGCCTCTAGACCAGGGGTCCACAAACTTTTTAAACAGAGGGCCAGGTCACAGTCCCTCAAACTGTTGGAGGGCCGGATTATAATTTGAAAAAAAATATGAATGAATTCCTATGCACACTGCACATATCTTATTTGTAGTGCAAAAACACTTAAAATACAATAATTAAAATGAAGAACAATTTTAACAAATATAAACTTATTAGTATTTCAATGGGAAGTGTGGGCCTGCTTTTGGCTGATGAGATAGGATTGTTGTTGTTGTGCTTTCAAGTCGTTTCAGACTTAGGTTGACCCTGAGCGAGGGCCGGGTAAATGACCTTGGGGGGCCGTATCCGGCCCCCGGGCCTTAGTTTGAGGACCCCTGCTCTAGAACATGGCCATATAGCCCGAAAAAAACCCACAAGAACCTAGTGATTCCAGCCATGAAAGCCTTCGACAATACGAACAATACGTTTTGTGTAAGTAAAATAATAATAATAATAATAATAAAATATTTGGGGTTGGCCTTGAATGTTAACACCAAATTCTGTTATCGTCAATAAAATTCATTTGCTAAGAAAAACAGCAAAATTGGTATACTTCAGTATCCTTTTCTCTGTACAGCGAGAGGTAAACATACCAAAAGTTTTTCAGTATTGAGAGAAAGAAGGGATTCACAGGACAGAGATCCGTGTAGATCGCAGTCTGGCTCATGGAAGCGCAAAAAAGAGGAGTCTGAAATGGAAATATTTTCATTGTCAGGCAAACTAAAACCCCAAAGTGTTTTTTATGGGTTAGATCAAGCATGGGCAAACTTGGGCCTTCACTCCAGGTGTTTTGGACTTCAGCTCCCACCATTCCTAACAGCCTCAGGCCTTCCTTTCCCCCCCCCCCTCAGCCGCTTAAGCGTCTGAGGGGGGAAAGGAAGGGGCCTGAGGCTGTCAGGAATGGTGGGAGCTGCAGTCCAAAACACCTGGAGAGAAGGCCCAAGTTTGCCCAGGCCTGGGCTCGATGCTCTTTCCCCCTTCCCCTCCCTGTCTGACTCACTCACCACATCCTCCTCCTGCTCCTCCTCCTTCCCCGGCGTGCCTCCTCCCTCCCCACTCGGCGGCCAGGAGCTGAGAGAGCGGAGGGTACCGCTCCGTCAGGGCCAAGGCCACCCGGCCCGCCGTGGCCGCCACGACCCACAAGAACACCCAAGAGCTTGGCCGGCGGCGCCCGGAGCCGGCTGCAGGTGCCATCTTCCCAACGCGCATGCGCACTGACATGCCCTTCTCCTTGTGGGGTCCGTGCTCCCCCCGCCCTCAGAGAGCCGAGGCGTGCGGTGCTTTCTGGGAAATGCAGTCCCAATGCCGGAGACGTTCCCAAGCGCTTCTGAGTCGCGGAACTACAAATACCAAGATGCTCCGCGGCTCGTCTTTCGTCTCAGAGAGCCGAGGCGTGCGGTGCTTTCTGGGAAATGCAGTCCCAATGCCGGAGACGTTCCCAAGCGCTTCTGAGTCGCGGAACTACAAATACCAAGATGCTCCGCGGCTCGTCTTTCGTTCCCGCTCCTCCTCTGTGTGGAGGAACCCGGAAGGGAACGAGGCAAGGCTCCAGACAGGGGGGAAAGTTGCCGTTTCCTTGGTAACAGGATTGTGGCCTGCTTCCCGGCATCTGAGATGGAAGAGCCTCGTGTGTACAGGTGCATTGAGTGCAACCGGAAGGCGGCGGAGCTGTACAAGGACTACCAGCGCGGGGTGGTGCGGATCTCCATCTGCGTGAGTTCTGGGAGAAGAAGGGGAGGCAAAGGAAGGAAGGAAGAATGTGTTGTCGAAGGCATTGGGTTGTTGTGAGTTTTCCGGGCTGTATGGCCAGATTCCATCTGAACATGAGGAAGAACTTCCTGACTGTGAAAGCTGTTCAGCAGTGGAACTCTCTGCCCCGGAATGTGGTGGAGGCTCCTTCTTTGGAAGCTTTTAAACAGAGGCTGGATGGCCATCTGTCAGGGGTGATTTGAATGCAATATTCCTGCTTCTTGGCAGAGGGTTGGACTGGATGGCCCATGAGGTCTCTTCCAAATCTTTGATTCTATGAAGGCTTTTGTGAGTTGCTGTGAGTTTTCCGGGCTGTATGGCCATATTCCAGAAGCACTCTCTCCTGACATTTCGCCCACATCTATGGCAGGCATCCTCAAAGGTTGAGGGTCTGTTGGAAACTAGGCAAATGAGTATTATATATCTGTGAAATGTCCAGGGTGGGAGAAAGACTGTCTACTCCCAACAAAGGATTCCCCCAGGCAAGAAGCAGCCAGGCTTTCTAGCTGCAAGGCCATGCAATGCTAGTCAAGGTGGCCAATTGCAACATTCACACCTGCCTCCGACAGACAAGAGTTCTTTCTCCCACCCTGGGCATTCCACAGATATAGAAATCCCCCTTGCCTAGTTTCCAACAGACCTCACAACCTCTAAGGATGCCTGCCAGGCAAAAAGTATGATAGCTGGGACCCAGTGCTGGTAGCGCTACTCTGGTTGCACAATGCAGCTCTGAATTAGAGAAGGGAAGACGTGCGCCAGACAGCGCACTGAGTGAGAAACGCAGCTGCGGCAGAATAACAGTGAAGTAATGTAATGCAGTGGGACAGGATAACCGTGAAGTAATGTAAGAGTGACTGGATTTAATTCATTTTTCACCACTGCTGGTATTTCTCCCCGCCTTCCTTCCAATGCAACAACGTTTTTTAACGTGTTTGCATGTGATCTCCAGAAAGCCTACATCAGTATGCTTCGTTGTTTCTCCTCCCCCTTTCTACCTTGCAAAGGATCTCTGGATAGCCTACATCAATATGCTTGGCTGTCCCCCCTTCTTTCTACCGAACTACCTTGTCGACTCTGTCGTAGCAGTGTCTTTCACTGCATGCAGTTTCTCATGCACATGGTGCTGTGTCTGGCGCACGTGTTCCCTTCTCTAATTCAGAGCCACATTACGCAATCAGCGTAGCGCTACCAGTACTGAGTCCCAGCTATCATACTTTTGCCATCTGCCATAGATGTGGATGAAATGTCAGGAGAGAATGCTTCTAGAACATGGCCAGACAGCCCAGAAAACTCAGAGCAACTCAAGGAAGGAAGCATCCTAACGAAGGATGCAGCTTATAGGCTTGACTAGCTTTTCCTGGTTTGTACTTTTAGTGCAACATCGTGGAGTTGCAGATGTGTGTGAGAATTTCATGGGGTTTTCTTAAGCAAGGTGTGTGTTCTGGGGGTGTTTTCCCAGTTCAAGTCAAGACAAAAAGTGTAAATTGTTGCTAAACATTTAAGAAAACAGAAATAATAACCACAGATTATTTACATAACTTGAAGATAGGTAGATATCAAAGGCACTGAAATAGTTTCAAAACTTTTCAGGGCTGCAGTCAACGGCCCTTCCAGATAGTCCCAATATCCCAGGATCTGATCCCAGGTTCTTCTGCTGTAATTATATGAGTCTGCACTGGCAGATAATCTGGAATAAACAGAAATCCTGGGATTTAGGACCTGTCTGAAAGGCCCCCAAGAAATCTGAAGAAGAATAGGGGTGTGTTTACATTGTAGAATTAATGCAGTTTGACACCATTTTCACTGTCATAGCTTAATGCTGTGGAATCATGGGATTTGTAGTTTCATAAGGCCTTTAGCCTTGTCTGCTAAATAGTGGTGGTGCTTCAGCAAGCCACAACCACAGGACCATGGCAGTCAAAGCAATGTCAAATAACATTAATTCTACAATGTAGGTGCACCCTAGACTTTGGAGGGGCAGTTACAAGGGAACTAAACAATTTCTGTCACCAAGAATTGAAATTAGAATTGTCTGAGCCATTGTATTTGCTGCTGTATTTCTATGTATATCTGTCATAACTGGACGGTGAAGAATGCTGGTAGGAATAAAATCAACTCTTTTGAAAGATTGATGCTTGAGGAGAGTTCTTAAAAGACAAATAAGTGTGTCCTACTGCGAATCAGGCTTGAGCAATCCCTAGAAGCCAAGATGACCATATCATGAGAACTCATGACTCATTAGAAAAGACAGTGATTTTTTTAAAGGAAGAAGGCAGTAGGAAAAAAGGAAGACTGCATTTCCAGATGGATGCTCAATCAGGAAAGCAGTAGTATGGACTCTGCAAGACCTGAGCAGGGCTTTGGTGGTCGGGGTGACTTGGAGGTCTCTCCTTCGTGGGGTCACTATAAATCAAAGTCAACTTGAAGGCAGTTAGCAACAATGACAAAGTTGGTATTCATTGGCGATCTCCCATCCAAGTTCTAATAAGGACTGACCCTGCTTAGGTTCCAAGATCCAGTGGGAACTGATGCCTCCAGGGCAAATTTTCCAAACACATGCTGGTGGCACACTTTTTAGACATGCATCATTTCACAACACAGTTGTTCAGTTTTATTAGCAAACTGGTAGTCAAGCCAACCCCTTATAAGAGGTAATAAAGATTAAGGAAATGTACAGGGACACGACATATCTCATGAAAATCTTTCATTTATATTTTTTAAATATATGATCTATAAAATAATAACATACATTTCCAAGATTTTTGTCTTCATTTCTTTTTGCATTCACCTACATACCTACATACTGCAGCTGACAAACACATGTGTTGCGACACACAGTTTAGAAAGCTCTGCTCTATGGTATTTAGGGTACTGGGAAGGTGTGTGGAGGGGTGCTAGGTAAGCGATTTTGCAAGGTGCCTAAAGGGATAAGGGGCAGGGTGCAGTTTAACAGGGAGGAAGTGAGAATGATATAAAGAACATGCAGATTATGTCAGGGAAGGCTAGTCCAGACTTTACTTGGTAGAATAACATGCCCAGGAGGCAGAAGGTTTGCAATGCTATGAATGGATGTTATTAGTTAGTTTGTTGATGTATTGCCATGGATAAGGAGGAGTGATTGTAGCTTTCTCACCTGCTTATCCTATGCACAGTGATCTACGAGAGGGAAGTGCTTCCATTTGCTGCTCTGCCTCGAGCAGCAAACTGGTGATAGCCCTGATGCTATAATGGTCCATAGTGCATATACAACTGATGTAAAGTTTTAAAGTAATTAGATCTGGAATATCTAAGTGCCCAGTAAAGTTGTCAGCAAATTGAAACCAATTTTCCTTGATTTCAGAGGAATTTAAGAGCTAGAAAATGTGCTTGGTATGGCAACTAAGGGGAATATCCCTCAATACAGCCCTACTTCTGCATCTGTTTCCAGAGCAAGTTACTGCCAGAAGCCTAATAACCTTCTATTCACTTCTATTCAATCAGTTGTGTCGATGTTGAGTACTATTTATTTATTTATTTATTTACTTTGCTCTTCTCAGCCCTACTATGGGTTTTCTGGGCTGTATGGCCATGTTCCAGAAGCATTCTCTCCTGACATTTCACCCACATCTATGGCAGGCATCCTTAGAGGTTGAGGGGGCATTCCACAGATATATAAACCTCAATTGCCTACTTTCCAACAGACCACACAACATCTGAGGATGCCTGCCATAAATGTGGGTGAAATGTCAGGAGAGAATGCTTCTGGAACATGGCCATACAGCCTGGAAAACTCTCAGCAACCCAATGATTCCAGCCATGAAAGCCTTCAATAACACAATGAGGACTATGTTTGTGTACGTGAAAGAGAATATTCTGTGATGATGAGAGCTGCTCTGATGGGAACTTCTTCCTCTTTCCCCATCCCCAGTATAGAAGTGATCTGGATAATCTGTAAACATTGAAATAACTATAATTCTGTCTATATAGGATTAAGCTCATATGTGACTTAGTAAGAATAGATAAAAAAGAATGTGATAATTAATTTTGATAAATGAAGGGTTTGATAAGTGAGCTTTAGATAACATTATCTGATATTAAAGTTCCAGATTACTGTACACTTACATATTAAAAGATTTGGTTCAGTTCAGTATAAATGATTGCATTTGCTGTGAAGATAAAATGTGAATATGCGTCACCCTTAGGTTTTATGGTTGCAATTGATCGCTGTTTTTCAACACAAGCCTTCTAACTTCGAAAGGGCTGATTTCACACTATATTTAACAGATCTTTTGCTTATCTCTGTGATTCTACTTTGATGCTGTACAAACTATTGGCTTACTTACTTTTTTCTTTTAATTTTGTTTTAACCTTTTTTCATAATTCAACTTTTTCTTTATGTTGTTGTTCATTCGTTCAGTCGTCTCCGACTCTTCGTGACCTCATGGACCAGCCCACGCCAGAGCTCCCTGTCGGCCATCACCACCCCCAGCTCCTTCAAGGTCAGTCCAGTCACTTCAAGGATGCCATCCATCTTGCCCTTGGTCGGCCCCTCTTCCTTTTCTTTATAACCCCAGTGTATTGCTTGAACCTGTAACTTCAGTGGAGTATTTATTTAATTGAAATATTTATATTCCACTCTATGAATGTTTAAGCTTTTTGAGTCTGCCATTACTGTGATCAAAATGTTCCAGTTCTAACCAGCATCATTGGTTCAGACAATAATGTTCGTGTCAAGCTATTCTCTTGACCACCTAGAGCAGTGGTTCTCAACCTTCCTAATGCCACAACCCCTTAATACATTTCCTGATATTATTATTTTCATTGCTACTTCATAACAATAATTTTGCTACTGTTATAAATTGTAATGCAAATATCTGCTGTGCAGGGTGTATTTTCATACTGGAAGGGTTTGGTGGGCATTGACTTTGAGTTTTGGAGTTGTAGTTCACCTACATCCAGAGAGCACTGTGGACTCAAACAATGATAGATCAGGACCAAACTTGGCACAAATACTCAATATGCCCAAATGTGGACATTGGTGGAGTTTGGGGGAAATAGACCTTGACATTTGGGAGATGTAGATGCTGGGATTTATAGTTAACGTATAATCAAAGAGCATTCTGAACCCCAGCAACAATAGAATTGGGCCAAACTTCCCACACAGAACCTCCATGCCTTGAAGGGACTCGCTGGCGCGAGCCTCCCTCCCACCTCACACACTCACCCTGCACACCATGCTTTCCTGTGCTGAGCATACCTGCTCTTCCCTCCTCGCATGGAGTCTTAGAAATGGTCCTCCCCTTGGCTGAGAGGCTGGCTGAGAGGCCGGCTGAGAGGCTAGCCAATCACAGCAGAGGAGGGCTTTTGATGGGAGATTTTGCCTCTGTTTCCAAAAAAGAAGAGAAGGACAGACGGAGAGATCTTCAGCCTTCTCTGCCAAAGGGGTTCCTAAGACCATAAAAAATATATGTTTTCTGCGGATCTTTGGCAACCACTCTGAAACCCTTTCACAACCCCTCCCCCCAGGGATCCTGACCCCCAGGTTGAAAAATGCTGACCTAGAGAGTAGGAATGGAAGCAGAAAGAGGAAGAGAACAAGTGGTTGGCTGAACATCTTCCTGCTTCCCCCACCATAGAATTCAACTGTGTATGTGCTTAAAACATCAGCGAGAAAGTTCACTTTAATAACTGTAACACTCATAGTAGTTGATAAAAGAGCTAGATGGGGCTGCAGTGGGAATAGAACAAGTATAAGTGCTGTCACATCTCTTCATCTTCAAACTATTTTCCCACAGCATTTTATTGTCCTCTAGCCAATATATCTTCCCAACATAAAAAAACAAAATGGAGGTGATATTTTATAGCCTTTGCTATCTGTACTACTGAACAAAAATATTTTTTTCACCAATTGTGGTCAAATACTGCATTTAGTTTTTACTTGTGTTTAGAAATAACTGGAAGTTGAAATACATGAATGAATGCTAGGGTATGCTTGAGTGATCACCCTTTTTGTGCACATGGTTTTAATTCTCTAATTAAAAGCAGCTATTTTCTGACTTTTTTGTGGATTGTTGAATGCAGTGCCAAGATCACAGCCGAATAATTGCATTAGGAAGTATAAACAACAACAACAAAAGGTTTTATTCCATTCAATATGAACTACAGAGTGATTATGCAATGTGACAACTATGCAATTAAGCACCGGTCATGGAATGAACTGTTCATAGCATTACAGTTTCTGATTAGTACAGACAGTCCCCAAGTTATGAACAAGATAGGTTTTGTAGGTTTGTTCTTAAGCTGAATTTGTATGTTAGTCGGAACAAGTACATTTTAAAGTGTAACTCCAGCCTATCTATCTATCTATCTATCTATCTATCTATCTATCTATCTATCTATCTATCTATCTATCTATCTACATTCATTCTTTAGCTTTGGATAACATAGGGAAAAGTTAACACCCTTGTGGTGTTTGTTTTGCAGTCTGTGCCCCTGTTCAGAATATTTCACCTCACTTCTGTCCCTGTGATCATAGGATTTTGAAAAATTTGACTTGTTGTGGAACCAGGGATTGCTGAGAAAGCTTCAGTGGAGACTCCTTTTCCCCCATGATAACTACTCCAGGAGTGAATTTCCCTTCTCTTTCTCTCACTTCCCATTGTCTCACCCCAATTTGTAACTATGAGTCATTTGTAAATTGGATGTTTGTAACTCGGGGACTGCTTGTACTTAGAAAATGTAGATTAGAGTTCTTTTTGATCCGTATTTGCCTTATGTTTTTCCTTACTATTTCATGATTGAGTTCATGAATTTTCTGTCACATTTAGTCACTCCTCATTTCTTTAAAAAAAACAACCAGGAAAACAAGAAGAATTATATCTAAATTGCAATTTGCAGTACCTAGGAGTACATTGTCATTTACAAGACAATTTGTTGAGGATTTGAAGGGGTTGTGGCCCTCTAAGGTCCAGAAAAGGTAAAAATGACTCTTGGACTTTCTGTTACAATTAACTAATTTGGCTATTATCCCCATATTGTTGATACTCACATCCTGCTGTCCACTATACATCCACACTTCAGAGATACAATATGTAGTAATTACTGGGCAAAGTGTTTTACATCAGCTTGCAACAACAATAATACATCCTGACCCATAGGTTGCCATGAAAGAGCTGTTCAACATGAAAGAGCTATTACCTGGTCCCCTGTTTTGCTAATGACTTTTTACAGATATATTACTCTTGAAATGAAATATCCTAGAAACTTACTCTGCAGATAACTAGAATTAAATTTTCGGACATGACTAGCAACGTGGTTGCTGTATTTGTGGATTTCAAGCAATCGGTTTCATGAACTGTTACACTAGTCCATAAATGGGTGTGCCATCGACCCATATAAGGGCAACAGCAGACTTGTGGATTCATTTTATAAGATCCTTTCCTAAACAAGTAATGGAAACAGAATTGAAAGAGATTACAAATGCCATCCAGTCCAATCCCCTGCCATACAGGAATGTTCAGTCAAAGCACTTCTTACAGATAGCCATCCAGCCTCCACTTAAAAACCTCCATAGAAGGAGACTCCACTACTCTCCAAGGTTGTGTAGTCTACTGTCGAACAGCTATTACCATCAGGAAATTCTTCCTAATGTTTAGGTGGAATCTCTTCCACTAAATAATAACACTCAATACCATATTCAAACATGGAATTTTCCTTTCCATTGCTGCATCGTAGCCTCCTGATGAGCTGTGACTAGTATAAGTCTGGAATCCATCTACACTTACTGCTCCCTGCTGTTGGAGAGCCTGATCATATTTTCATGGGCCTTTTGGATCATCTTGTAAACCACATGGCTCCGTTCCTATTTAATGTATAGTATGCAGTTAATTCTAAAATACCAGTCTTCTGCTAATATATGATTAAATATTGAAATTTAAATGCAAGTTCTTTTATGAATAAAAATGTACAATCATAACAGTAAGACTTTGTAAGGTTTCGGCACATTCCCTGAAGTCAGGCTTTTCACTGTGTATATGTTATTCTTGTCTGCAGAAACTCTGAGTGAAACTTGAAACTTGTTTGCTGTATAGGCAAGCAGTGAGAATTAAATAAGATGTCGAACGGACAATTTGAGGCTATTTTTAGGGCATTATGGTTGTCTCAAGAACTTTAATGAATATTTTAAATGTTACAATGGGGTCTGTTAAAAAAAAACCTTTGCTTTTGCTTTCTTATTTTCAGAAATCATGCCAGAAACCAGTGGACAAATATATAGAATACGATCCTGTTATCATCTTAATTAATGCTATCTTATGCAAAGCACAAGCTTACAGGCATATTTTATTCAATACAGAGATAAGTGTAAGTTCCTTTTTTTTCCCTTGTCCTCATTTACTGAATGTACTTAGATCTTGTCACAAGCTGACAAGGCAAAATGAAAATACTGAGTTTGGAGTTGTTTTTTATTATTTCTTTTCCATATTTCTGCTTCTTCTTTCCAATATATTCTTTACTTGTTTTCCTGTTCTAATGACTATGTCTTGTTCATTTCAGAAAACGAGGAATCTTACATCCCTGCTGTGCTTATATTACATACTAATTTAATGAATAATAATTGAGTTTGCTCTTGAATTAGATAGGAAGCAGGAGTGTTTTTGAAAATAGTGCCGTGTTTAAAAAGCTTCCTTATCTAATTCTCGTTGTCTTGCATCAATAGTTATTTTCATATAATAATAATAATAATAATAATAATAATAATAATAATAATAGAGGTGGGAAAGAGGTGGGGCATTTTATACACAGAGTTAGCTCCTCATCTCCAAGTTTTATATTCTTCTATTTGTATTTCTTCATGTTGGGAGAAGAAAATGAGCTTCTTGCATAATGTCAAGTGCAGCTTTTTTTTTTAAAGGGTTGGGTTTTTGTTTTTGTTTTTTTAGTGTTGCATATACCATCCTTCAGTGTGGTCATATTTCAGTATAGCTTCTACTTTATGAATGAGAGTGTTATGGCTATGATGCTCACAGGCTTGTATAGATGCATCAGCTAAGAGTGCTTATTGTCAGCTTTGGCTGTTATGCCAGCTGTGCCCCTTCCTAAAGCTGGAGGATCTCAAGATGGCAGTGCATACACTAGTAACCTCAAGACTGGACTTCTGCAATGTGATCTACATTGGATTGTCTCTGTTTCAAGTATAGGAACTTCAGCTACTTCAAAACATGGCAGCCAGTTTGGTAACTGGATCATTTAGGAGTGATCATTTTTGTTGTTTATTCATTCAGTCGCTTCTGACTCTTCATGACCTCATGGACCAGCCTATGAGGAGTGATCATATTTTATCAATACCTACTGACTGTCAGTTACTTTCCAGGCAAGGTGCAAAGTGAAGGTTGTTAATTTAAAGCCCTGTATGAATCATAGAATCATAGAATCAAAGAGTTGGAAGAGACCTCATGGGCCATCCAGTCCAACCCCCTGCCAAGAAGCAGGAATATTGCATTCAAATCACCCCTGACAATGGCCATCCAGCCTCTGCTTAAAAGCTTCCAAAGAAGGAGCCTCCACCACACTCCGGGGAAGAGAGTTCCACTGCTGAACGGCTCTCACAGTCAGGAAGTTCTTCCTCATGTTCAGATGGAATCTTTTCTCTTGTAGTTTGAAGCCATTGTTCCGCGTCCTAGTCTCCAAGGAAGCAGAAAACAAGCTTGCTCCCTCCTCCCTGTGGCTTCCTCTCACATATTTATACATGGCTATCATATCTCCTCTCAGCCTTCTCTTCTTCAGGCTAAACATGCCCAGTTCCCTAAGCCGCTCCTCATAGGGCTTGTTCTCCAGACCCTTGATCATTTTAGTCTCCCTCCTCTGGACACATTCCAGCTTGTCAATATCTCTCTTGAATTGTGGTGCCCAGAATTGGACACAATATTCCAGATGTGGTCTAACCAAAGCAGAATAGAGGGGTAGCATTACTTCCTTAGATCTAGACACTATGCTCCTATTGATGCAGGCCAAAATCCCATTGGCTTTTTTTGCCGCCACATCACATTGTTGGCTCATGTTTAACTTGTTGTCCACGAGGACTCCAAGATCTTTTTCACACGTACTGCTCTCGAGCCAGGCGTCACCCATTTCTGAGTTGGATTCAGAAAACCTACAGGACCCCCTTTCCTGTATATTCTGCCCCATATGCTCAGGTGCTCTGGAAGACACTTAATGTAAGTCAGTCACAACTAGACTGACAACTGTTCTTCAGGGACTTTTCTTCAGCTGTCCCCCAGACAATGAAATCACCTGCTGGAAGAGATTTGACAGCACGATATGCTGCTCAAGCTCAAAACAGCTCTTAAAACCAATCTCTTCTAGCAGGCTTATCCAGATTATTATAAAATTACACATTTTAGAAATTTGGATTAAATGGTTTTATTATTATTTGATTCTATATGCTTTTTATAGATTTATATTATCTTTTAACTATGTTACATGTTTTATACATTGGAGAGGTGGTTAAAAAAAGAATTTTTGTTGTTGTCATTGATGATAAAAGATTTTGAATGACTTGCCTCCTTCTGATGCTAGCTGTTTTTCATACTGCAGATTCATGGCAAGCTCTGCATATTTTGTTTGCTCTGTGAAGCTTATATCCGGTGGTTGCAACTACAGGGTTCAAGCCAAAGTCCTGATCCTGATGATTTAATTAGATATGCCAAAGAATGGGATTTTTATCGAATGTTTGCAATAGCATCTATGGGTAAGATTAAATAGTTGCTAGATATTCTTTCTAGTATTTTAAAAGTCAAGATAAAACGGGCATTGCAATTTTTAGTAGAAAACAAATGTATTGTTATATCTATTTTATCTCATTGAATTAGTTTGTGTGATGCAAAGCTGTCAAAACATCACAGACGTTTGTTGTCTGAATGGGCACACTAGTAGAAATAGTTTTGCATGACTTTAATTTTCCAATGAAATATATTGCTATGAACATTTTCTAGCACAGTATTTTGAACCTAGGCCCATTTCAAATTATTGGCAAGTTATAAGCCTCATGGTCACCTTCACAAAAAGACTTATCAAAAAGTTATATTTTATAATTTACTGGAACCCTGAATTTCGCCAATCAGTTCCAGATGTGAAATTTTGACTTGAGCTGAAGGTATGCAAATAGCCATATCTATAACTATATCTATATTAGTATAGTTCAAAGATTCACAGACAAACGCAAAACAATTGAAGCCCACAGTGAAATTATTTTAGAGATGACTAAAATTTGAAAGAGAAATAATAGCAAATCCAACTGGATATATGCTAGAACCCATTGAGCAGTAGAGAGCCTTCTTTTCTGCAAACATTATGCTCATACAGAACAGACCATTTTTGGCTTTTCCAAGCAGTGAGAGGCATTTTGTGTTAGAGATCTACCAGTCAGTAACTATTATTTCAGTCTTGGGAAAGATATTTTGCTCCTTAGCTTCCAAATTTCTTGGATGAAATTGATTGTAGACCATTTTTGGTTTAGTTTGAGCATAGTTTGAGAACTGAAACACTCTTGGTCCTTATGGTGGATGCTTGATGTTAAAGAACTAGACTGGAGGAGTGACTTAACTAGATAACTGATAGGAATAGGTAATGTAGAACGAAATATGGACTCTGAGTTGGCAAACACTGAGCTTGAGATTGGTTTATTGACTGTGATATATATTGATTGTTTTAACTGTCTTAACTGTTTTAATTGCTGTTTTACATGTTTATTTGTATTATTGTGTAGGCATCGAATTGTGCCTTTTTGTAAGCCGTCCTGAGTCCCCCCTCGGGGGTGGAGAAGGGCGGGGTAGAAGTACACGAAATAAATAAATAAGAAATAGACAAAGTAGTTGAAAATCAGTCCAGAGAAGAAAAGTGCCAGTGGGTACAAAACCTATCAAATAAGTGATGAGGTAGTAGATGCTTTTTTGGATGGGATGTACTTCCATTAATCAGATTTGCAATATGAGAGTGCTCCAGAGGACAGTTTAGCATCTCAAGTATTCATGTGGTAATTATATTTTTGCGTTAGCTTTGTCTGATATTCTGACTATTGGACCTAGCTATGGACATGCATACCAGGCCATTCCCTGGCATAACTAAAATTTTGGTTGCTGCCTTTAATGTGTTTAATAGCTTAAGAATTGACTTCACCTTTATGAGTTTGCCTACAGCCAGAATGCTAGTTTTCACATTTAATTCAATCCATCATCTACTCCATTCCATGAAACCTCTTGAAATACTCTTTGGGAGTGTATGTAGTAAAATGCCAGAAAAGACACCTTGTTTATTATTTATTTATTAAAGAGCCCCTTTTGGGTGTCCATTGTTTCTCAAAAATGGCTGATTTTTACCTATTTCCATCTCTTTCAGAACAAGCTGCCTTTTTAACTGGCATCTTCAGTACTCTGTGGTTAGCAAAATCAGTAGCTCTGAGAACCAAAGAAGATCTCACCTTTCTTCTGAAAGCATTGCTATTATCTAGCTATGGAAAACTTCTACTGATTCCAGCTGTTATTTGGGAACATGACTATACTCATTTGAGCCTCAAGCTCATTAAAGTTTTCGTCTTGACATCAAACTCTCAAGCAATTAGAGGTATTTTTCTAATTGTATTCTGCTAATGTAATAAAGCTGTTAAGTAGGTCATGGTTGCATATATTCATTTAGACCTAGTGCACAGCTGCCAACGGTTTCAGGGCTTTACCTGTGTGAAACAGTGATAGGCTTTCCATCATTAAGGTATAAAATATTACAGAAGGAATGTTTAAATTGCTGTAATACATTTTTATCTTTATAACTGCACTTTATTCTTTTTATAAATTGTTTTTTGAGTTATTTTAATACTGTGAATTCTTTAATCTTATTTTAATGTCTGCTTTTGTTGTCTTTGGGTGAACTGTTCTTTTTAAATTATAAGTTGCCTTGAGTCCAAATTTGGGCAGAAAGGTGGGATAAAGGTAAATGTAACACAAAAAAACTTGATTTAGTGAGTTGAAACTTTCATACAGAGAGATGAAATGCCTGCCATTAATAGATGTAAAATGTATACAGTACACCAAAATAGCAAAGACTAAAAGTATAATCTGGTAGAATTTACACTGAGGGTCAAACACAGAGTTGTGAAAATATAAACATTGTGATGCCTTGAGGATTTTTTTTTAGTTTTGTTACTGAAAAAAGAATGGAAATTTGGAAAAATTAGAAATACTGTATATGCAACATGTGCAACACACATTATACTCAAATATATCCTTCTGAATTACCACCATAAACATTTTCATAGCTTTGCATGTAAACTTCTATTTATTTATTTCTTGCATACGGATGCACTGAGTCCTATTTAAGTATGTATATCTTAAATGCTGACATCTGAGAACTAAGGAAAGAATAAAAACAGAAGTTTGGTAGTGAACAACAATATTTGTACATAACCAGTCACTTTTTTTTCCAGTCACTTTCTTAAGAAGTAAACATGTTGAATATTTGAATATAAAGTTGAACTCAAGTGTTGAAAAGTCTGAACTATTCAACATACAAGTAATGAAGCACTCTCACAATATCATTAAGATGCAGAAATGAATCTGAGTCTCTTTTTTTTTTACATGTCTGATGTATCTGTGTTTTCTGATTCTGTAGACAAACTTACATCAAAAACTTTTTACTATGTAATTTCTGGAATTTCAAGTGAGGAAAGTCTTACTTTAAAAAGCATTTCATTTACTCCTAAATATAAAATACTTCATTTTCCCTCTGCTTCACAGTACTTCCAGTTTTTTGTTTGGGATTTGTTTATTTTTGCTTTTGGAATGTTAATAAATTCCAGATCTGGCCTTGATGCTCTCTGTTTAAACTTAAAGACCCTCTACTGAGTCTTTAAGAAAGTCAGAGAAAAATCACTTTTGGTCCCAGTGGAATCCACTTGTCTTAATATTTCTTTGCATATTTTCTGCTAATGTCTTTGCATGCTTATTGTGTGAGACATTTGTGTTTCCTCACATACATTCAGATGTCAGTGCTACTTATATATCCAATATTTTCAAGGTTTTTCTGACTTTTTATAAGATTTTGTAAACCATCATTTTAAAATAGCATAAACTACCTTAAAATGGATTTTAAAAGTATGGTTAGTTATTTAAAAGTATCGTTAGCCTTGTTATCACTTGTCTTACAAACAAAAAGGTCTGATAGTATAAATAACTGCTTGTGAACATCAGTCTTAGTTGTGTTGAATTAAGAAAAACTTCCTGCATGTGTCATCTGTGGCTCCAACCATACTGCCATATAAAATCCAGATTACCTTATTTAAACTGGATTATATGGCAGTGTAAACTAATATAATCTAGTTCAAAGCAGATAATCTGGATTTTATATGGCTGTGTAGGTGGGGTCTGTGATTTTATGATTAGGGGTAACAAACAGTGGAGGAGTTTAATGCTGATTTTAGCTACCTTTTTAACTCATGAGTTCATTAAATGTAAAGCTTCTTTTTAAAAGAAGTTAATACATGTGCCTTTTCCAATAAAGCAACTCCAATATCTAAAGCCCTGCTATTTCGCTCCTTCGAGGTGGGGAAAATTTCTGTCATTTTGTTGCCAGCAGTTTCACAAATCCTTCTCAACACAATAGGAGGGTGTTGACAAAGCTACCTGCAGAGCCCGTTTGGTGACATATTAGAGCGGGGTGTCAAATTCATTTTCATTGAGGGCCACTCAGCCTAATGGTTGCCTTCAAGGAGCCATTGGATGAAAAATCTGTGAATACATTAAGCCACTATTTAAAAACTTACATAGTAGTCAGTGCTCTTTAATTTTCACCCAATTTGGGTCCCCAGATGTTATTAAACAACAACTCCCATCTCTTTTGATTATCTGCCATGCTGACTGGGGATTATGGGAATTGCAGCCCAACCAGTACTTGTGGTGGGAAGCTTAAAGGGCATTTTAAAGTTAAACATCATGCCCACAAGCCTTATATCTAAATTCAAACCTCATTTTCCTGACTGAACTGATGTTACTGTTACTGTTACTGATACAGATGTTACTGTATTTCAACTCCAGTCAACACTAGTCATGATGTCTAATGATGAGGAATACAGGTATTGTAATTCGGCTTATGGAGGGCCACAGAAAATGACAAGGCAGGCCAGATTTGGCCCTCGGGACTTGAGTTTGACACCTGCGTATTAGAGCAGCACCAGAAATTAGGATCTTGCAGATTCACTGAATGCCTGCACTAGTATATTCATTGAGACAGCATTTTCCACTTCTGCCTCTGAGGAAAATTTAGTGAGCCACCTGCTGATCTCTCAGTAGCTTCTCTCTCCATTGGAGGAACATCCATTTCTACTGCGTTCAGTGATTGTTTGGTCTCCTTTCTAGGGATTGTGCAATACTTCCTTAATTTTATTCATAAAAGCTATTGCTCACAATTAAAAGGAGAGGCCACCTTGAATCATGCATCCAAATAAAAATAATATTGAAAAATAAACAAAAAATCTGAACTTTTTTGCTTTGTTAATAGATGCTGATTTGCTGGTTTAATATCACATTGTTTAACATTGTCTATTGTTTACAATTGTGTAAGTGTTATTCATAGCCTTCAATTACTAACTGCAAGTACATATTTGTTATCCTTGTGGAAACTTATTTGGAACACCACCCACCTTTTTTTCTTTCTTTTGCAGTTACTTTGAATACAAGCCGAAAACTTTGCCTGATAGCCATATTGAATGGATTAATTTTGGAAAATGGTTTCAGCTATTTGATCCAGAGGATAGGATGGAATGTTTGAGATGCTCCTGTCATATTACACTAATGGCAGAAATGCTTGATAATGCAAAGAAAAACAGACTTTCTCACAGTTTACTACATACTGATTACAAATGCACTGACAACATAATACTGAATGTAAATAAGATTTTTCATACTGAATAGAAGAGAATATGAGAAGAATTGAAAAACCCAGGAAATGTAGGTATGAATCACCGATATTTATTTTTTATAACATTCTTTGATACCCTTGGTTTGTCAAAATGGTCAGAATGGTGCTACTGGTCTCCAAGGCATCTAAGAACCATTTTTATGCATTGCCGTTTTGTACTTTTCATTAAAAAGAAAAAAAGAAACTTGGTTACCTGTGTCATTGTGATGAAAAAGGAAAAAATTCATACACCGAGGGAATACAAAATGTTATTCTTATCAAACGCTGAAACATAATTAAGTATTATTGTTACATTTATATCCTACTTTTACAATGATTGAGACACAAAATGGCTCATAACATTTAAAATCCCCAACATACAAATATTAAAATAGAATTAAACAAATTTGTCAAATCTTGTCAAGAAAACCCCATGATACTTTTAGGAAACAACTTGAAGGCATGCAATTAAAAGCTACCTTAAATGTGATCTTGTACCAAATCCATGTTGAAAGAAAAAGTTTTAAGAAGGGATCAAGGTGGCGATGGTGTAGAAAATATGTGGACGCTCCAGATTGTCACAGGTGACTGTGGCTTTTCCTAAGCTTTTGTGAAGTTCATTCCATTTAGTCCACACACACGCACACAAAACCATCATAAATCTGTGAGTCTTGAAAGGGTGCAATGGACCGTTTCTCTGAATGAAGCAAACATTGCCTCTGTTTGCCTTCCGGAAAACAAACCGGCAACTCCTATGAAAGCGGAGAGAAAACACCTGTTTTTAACCTTCCTCTACTGGGGTGCATCTGCACTAAAGAATTAATGCAGTTTGACTCCTCTTTAACTTTCCTGGCTCAATGCTATGGAATCCTAGGATGTGCAGTTTGGTGAGGCACCAGGACTTTTTAGTGGAAAAAGCTAAAGACCTCACAAAACAACGACTCCCAGGATTTCATAGCATTGAGCCAGGACAGTTTAAGTGTTGTCAAACTGCATTATTTCTATTGTACATGCGCCCTGGGATCTGTACTTTGTGGCACAATTTCCCTTTCTTTGTAAGAGAATAAACTGTCAACTTCAGGGTTGCAAACTGCTACAATTCCGCCATATGGATGCATCCAAGGTTTTATCTGAAAATACAATACACCAAATAATAATACTAAAAAACAGTAGAATAAGGTGGCATTATCTATCCTCTCAACATCATTCGTTATATCATTACAGGCAGTCCCCAAGTTACGAACAAGATCGTTCTGTAGATTCTTAAATTTTGTGTATGTATGTGTGTATATACACACACACACACACACACACACGTACAGATATGAAAGCTTTGGGTAGCATAGGGAAGCGTAAACACTCCTGTTGTGTTTGTTTTGCTGTCTGTGTCCCTGTTCAGAAGATTTCATCTCTCTTTCTGTCACTGTGATAATTGAATTTTGAAAAATGTGGCTTGCTGTGGAAACAAGGATTGGTGATAAAGCTTCAGTGGAGATGCTTTTCCCCATGATTACACCACCAGGAGTGATTACGGAACGGCCTCAGACTTCAATTTTTGGATGGCATGAATAATTCAATGGATTTTAAGCTCAATGTTGTATGTTTTTAAGGGCAAGGGCAAGTTTTGGACCCCAGATTACAGAATGGATTATGACCTGTAGATAAGGTGGGGGTTAAACCTAGGAGTACGTAACAAAGGAAATAAAGGATGAAATAAAGGAAAATGATGCCAAGAACTTTTAAAATTACTTTGGGATGGATTAAGAGAGAACAAATTTATGTCCGTTCAGTGTGTGGGAACCTTGCTTTGGACTGCTTGCACATGTTTGTGCCTCTTGCATTGAAGATTGAAATAGGGGAAAGATACCTACCTAAGCTGGGAGAAGAAAGAAAGGAACTGGAAGGTGCCAAAAAAAAAAGGATCATGAACCACTGTTCTAAAAACCCAGCTCCCAGGAAGCAGAGGATCACGAAACACAGTCCAAAAATCAATCTGTGAATATAGAATTCAATAACTGTTGTCCCTTGAATCTTCCCTTTTTGGACATTGCTTCACACACACGCACCCCCCCCCCCCAACTGCCTCCCACATACACACTTCTGGGGAACAGAGTTAGTAACTTGCATGTGCACAGTGTTTCCGAAAACTGGGAAGGAAGCCCTGGAATTTCATTCTTGCTCAAGAATGAAAAGTCTTGGCTTGGTTGATAATTTTTTGGATGAAGTTTCTTCTCAATGTGGATAAGAGAACTTACAAATAATCTTTAGATTCCTATTAGTATTGCAGCCAGAACAAATTGTACAGGAGACAGAACAACAACTGACAGTTCAGACTTGCTGCTGCTTTTTAAAAAAATTGAACTGCAAAACCTTGGTTGTGATTTGTATGGCCTAATTTCCTTCGGCAGGAGCAGACTACCAGTAGCATAAAACAAGGTATGAATCCTTCTCCCTCTTTAAAACTTGGTGCTCAAGTTTTGCTTTTAGTTTCATTACAGACTGGCCAGTTCAATAAAAAGCCATGAATCATCCTGTAGCTTAGCTTGTTACAAGGGAAGCTTCTAGTATATAGCTGCTCCAGTTCTGCCTTGTTCTAAATAATTCAAAAGACCTTTCTGTTGAAGCAATTGAGGCAATGGTTGGCACAATTCAGAAAAACATAATTACTGCTTGTGTTGGAGCTGGGCTTTGAAAACCTAGAATGAAATCTTAGAATATTAGACAAATCTCTCCCTAAAATGGGAAAATGCCTTGATTATTAATACAGTGACTTCCAAATATCTCTATTCAGATTGTGGAATCATATTGCCTCCTTAGTACACTGAAGAGCGGAGAGTCATGAATTTACCAATGGTGTGAATACAACCAAACAGAAGTACCCTATATGCTCATATAGAGTATATAAATGGGTCAGTGTGAGTACTGTACCTCAACCCTTATCAAAATAGGAACTGTGCTTTCTCTTCATAGAATGGTGAGAGACAAAAACTTAGTCCATCATGAAAGAACCTCAAAGAAACACTAACCCTTGCCACTCTCTTCTAGCATTTTTGAATGCCTGCATGGAAAAATTGTGATGCTTGGGCCATGAGATGGCATTGGTGCCTTCCCTTGTTCACAGAAGGACCCTCGCCTTATCCATGAGTCATATCAAAATTGATAATTGCAGCCCCCAAACCTGCTTTTAACCTATACATGAGGCTGACTTATTCATGAGTATATATGGTATTCTCAGACAGGGACTGGAAAGAAAACCCCAGTCTTTTCTGTTATGCCACTAACTTAGGAAAAGCGCGGTGGCTGAAAAGCATTATTTTCCACCATGTCACTTACCTGTCTGTTAGACAAAGTGATGTAGCTGAAAAAATTTTTTTCTGCCATGTCACTAACATGTTTGTTAAGACAGAGTGAGATGGTCACTAGGAGCAGCAAACTGTTGTTTATTTCCTTCAGGATCCTTCATTGTGCTCTTCCAAACACTCCAGGTCCAAAAGACTAGTTTAGATGGATTCTTATTCTTCAGATTAATCAATCTCGACTCAAATGCTAGTCTTTGAAAGGGCTCCTCAGTCATGAGCAGCATGCCCTTGGAAGTTGCTTGTTTGAGACATCAATGTGTATGTGGTACCTACCGTTTTGCAGCTCCACACCCCACATTAACTGCATTTCATTCCTATGATACCAACATGACTTGAAAGATGCCACATTTCTCACAGGCTCTTGTATTCATTTGAGAAAGGAAGATAAAATCATTGGGACTTTTTCTTCAAGCTAGCCTTTGGGAAAAGTTAGAATAGAAAACATTTCACTGAACTCCCCTCACCCCTTTGCAAATATGAAATGGGCAACTTTGTGGCACTCCCCGTGCTCCATCCAGATCCTGGTATTTCCCTTCACTTTATCATTTTCCTTAACTCTTTTTTCCTTCTCTTTTGCTTGTCAACTACTTAATAGAGAATTCATGTATATGCTACTCAGAAGTAAGCTCTTCTATTCTTAATTGATTTTATTCATTATATATAGGATTGTAACATGGCAGGGCACATTTCTTTATTGTCTTAAAAACTAGGTCACAAGGCCATTAAATGCTAATCAAGGTGACCAATTGCAACATTCACACTTGCCTCCAATAGACAAGAGTTCTTTCTCCCACCCTGGACATTCCGCAGATATATAAACCCAACTTGCCTACTTACCAACAGTCTTACAACCTCTAAGGATGCCTGCCATAGATGTGGGTGAAGCATCAGGAGAGAATGCTTCTGGAACATGGCCATGCAGTCTGGAAAACTCACAGCAGCCCAAAGGATTCTTTGTTTCTTATGTTGCAAAGTTTTTTCATAGGTCGCTACAGAAGACAGATAAATGTTGTTTGTCCCACTGAACTCTTTAAAGCTTGAAAGAAATATAGACTGTTTTTTTCAAATATTGATATAAGAAGCATTGGCATTTTTGGAGAACAGAGGGAAATCCACAGCAGGAAGCCATTTCCTTTGCTTTCTTGAGATCCTTCTGAACCTGAAAAGAATGCCAGATGAATGTGGAAACAGACCAAGACAACTAGTTGAGCAATCTGAACTTTATGTAGTTTTCTAGGAATGTGTTCCCAATAACAGGATTTACATTTTACAGATAAGTTGGTATGCCATTAAGAAGGATAATTCCCTTGTTTTCTTTGGCAGTACAGGCTACTGGGTCGTTCAAGACTCTGCTGAGGAAAGTTTCATAACTAAACCTTGAAACCTTTAATCTGGATAGAAAAATTAATGTCTCCCTAGTTCTCTATAAGTTTATTGAATCCACAGATCCACCTGAATTTGAAAAAGAAAAAAAGGAGGGAATCACTTTTGGATTGGAAATCATTTTTGAGATAGATAGAAAGGTACAAGCAGCCATAAAGTCCTCTCAGGTGGCCACTGAATGTCCAGAAAACACTGCATATCAACCCAGTTTCTTCAATGTTTATATTTTATTAATTCATATCAGGAATTGAGAAATACAATTCCCATGCTCTGTAACACAGTAGATACACACTGGAGAGTGAGGACCGGAACATCTGTAAGGATACCAAGGTGCTTGCTTATAAAGCTATTGTCCTCCCAACCCTGCTATACACCTGTGAAACGTGGACAGACGTCACATTCAACTCCTGGAACAATTCCATCAGTGCTGCCTCGGAAAAATCCTGCAAATCTCTTGGGAAGACAGGCAGACAAATGTCAGCGTGCTGCAAGAAGCAAAGACCACCAGCATTGAAGCGATGCGTCAAATAATATTTATTATTTGTTGTTGCACTTATTGCATTTATATGTTTTAATTGTTTTATAATTTGATACGTTATATTTATTATTTGTTGTATGATGTGGCATTGAATGTTGCCATAATCTGTAAGTCGCTCTGAGTCCCCTTCAGGGTTGAGAAGAGCGAGGTATAAACACAGTAAGTAAGTAAGTAAGTAAATAAATAAATAAATAAATATACCATCAACTCCTCTGGACTGGCCATGTTTCCGAATGCCCAATCACCATCTCCCAAAGCAGAATTTAAAGAGGCATGAATGGAGTGCAAAAGGGAGAAATGTGCCAAGAGGAAGGCGCATCAAGACAATCCTTATCGGAACCGCCTTCCTCCTGGAAACCAATGTCTTCACTGCAGGAGAACATGCAGGTCAAGAATAGGGCTGCACAGCCACCTATGGACTCACTGCCAAGACACTGCACTTAGAGGATGATCATCCTTGGGCTACAAGGGATCGCCTAAATAAGTAAGTACTCATTGGAGCTCGACATACGGAGCCAAAAAACTTCAAAATATGTATTGGCTTTATAGGGCTTATTGCTGCATGTATTAATTTTTTATGTTTGGGGATACTCATATATTTTTACTGGTGGGGCAGTATACAAATGTTCAGTTGTCATAGTAGAAGCCTTATAAAACAGCAAAAAGGAAATACACATTGATGAATTATATTTTCCATCAAGCTGGATAAAAATCAACAAGTACATGAGACTACTACAAATTTCAATGAGACTTGAAGAAGCATTTTGTTCATGTTTACACAGGAATGTGTTCCCACTGCATCAGTTTAGGCTAACTTCTGTGTAAATGTGAATTATGTTGTAACTTCTCTTCTCCAGACTAAACACACCCAGCTCCCAAAGATTTTATTTATTTATTTATTTATTTATTTATTTATTTATTTATTTATTTATTTATTTAGGGTATTTTACCCTGCCTTTCTCAACCCCCTGGGGGGACACAGGGTGGCTCATATAGCATGGTTTCCAGGTCTTTTTCCATTTTGATCACCCTCCTTTGGGCATGTTCCAGCTTGAATTGTGCCTGGAACTGGAGAGTGTTTCAGATGGGATCTGACCAAGGCAGAATACTTCCCTTGATCTAGACATTATTATTGAATTGCATTTGTTTTTTTTAAGCTGCAGCATGACACTTCAAGAGCATTTTAATGTAATGTAGTAGTCCAGGAAGCATAGATGAAGAAAGGTAGCCCTTCAGGTATTTTGCTTTTAATCCACCTAGAAGTAGTATATTGGTATTTTAAGCATGGTGGAGCTGCACAGGTCACTTTTTAAGTTGGGCAAAACTGGTGTTTTTTTAAAAAAAATCTGCATTTCTTTTTTTACATTCTTCAGCTCTTAGTGGCTTGTAGCAGGCTTAGTTCTGTTCTGTTTTGCCAAACCAGATCCACCAACCAGAACCTGATGCAAAAGCATATACACTGAATTAAAGACATCTGAGTGCAGGACATTACTTTGAACACTAGTATTAAGCTGAGAATATGTACAATACTTTCTTCACAACAGTTCACTCCTGGCTCACCGTGGAATACACAAGTTTTGCAGGAACTGTCTCTTAATTTATGGAAACACAAAAAGTTGTCCTTTTGTTTCTAGTGTGTGACCTGCTGCCTTACCATTAGTTTCATTCTACACATGACTGCTCTGAATTCAGTAGACTGCACTGCATCATACTTGCTGCAATTGATGTGTACCACATAGCTGCAGCTGTTTCTGGTGTGAAAGAGAAACTACCATTTGAAGAGTTAAATTGAAAAGGCTTGTCTCAGTTTGCAAACGATGTATCATGAACTCCCCACAACATGCAAGCAATATGGTTTGGATTTAAATCCCCTGCTGGGTTAGCTTCTAGCTTCAATATTGTTAAAGAAGCAAGAGGGCTTTTGGGGGAGGGGGGTATTCAGGGATAGGGTTTCCTTCTTAGCCTGAAAAACCACAGAATGCAATAATCTTAACACTCTTATGTGGTCCTTTGAAGTTTGCCTTCTGATGTTTTCATTTACTGGAATTTTTAGAGCTCAGAGAAGTGCCATTTTTAGATAATCCCCAGCTACATGACTACTAGCATTTCTCTCTCTCCCTGTGTGTGTGCTTGTTTGTTTTGTTTTTGCATTATATGCTATGTCAACCAACCTCCAGGTCAACACTGCATTATGACTACACATCCTTTGATGCAATCCATGCCCTCTTTTGGCATAATTGAAGGGCTGAACTTGGACACAACAAAATAAAGTGAAACAACAGAATATTGCTGCGCTACTCTGCCAGATCTAAACCACGCAACATAAAATCTGATATTCTCTTAAATTTCTGCTGCATATACCCTTTAGTTTAAGGACATCATTGAATAACCCCACATTTCTTCTGTGTTATTTTAAAAAATGCAGTCATCCTCAGCATTTTTTGTTTCACTCCCAGTTATTGTAACTAGAAGAGTTTGCTGCTTCATGACTCCAGGCTGTCCCTACACCACATGCTCTGCCCAGTAACTTGGATCTAGTCAAAGTCAACTGAACTTAATTCCCTTTGAAATTATTAGGACTCAAACAATGACTAACTTGTTTCACTGATTTTGCTACAACCCAGGCTCAGCAAATTTATGGAAGCAGTTGTATATATTGGCCTAAATCCAGTTGTTTGATATACAAAGATATTCTTGTAGCTTGACCAAAACAGAGCAAAGTATCGGATACAGCAGATTGGTGGGCTCAGGGCTAGTGGCTCCATTTCCTCTGCTCATTTGGGTTCTTTGGCCTTTGAAATTTCAGAAATCTCGCCATGTAGATGTTTGATGGAGAACTGGTAAAGTGTGTGAAATGTAAAATGATACAAAGGGGAAAATCAGACTTGCTGTGATGGTATTCAGAATTGGCATATTAGGTAACAAAAAAGCAGGAATTGGTTCAGAAAAACCAGAGTCATGGTATTTGTCTTTGCAGCTCTCTTCCTAACAGTTTCAGTTGGGCTCTAAATTCATATCTCTTGCTTCCCAATCCTATTGAGCTGTGTGTTAGTTCTGTTGATTTACTTCCTAATCCTTTAGTAATTTTTTTCAACTGGCAATTGCCCAGACTTAGCATACTTACTCAGTTATCTAGCTTTAACAGAATAGCAAGAACTTCCTGATTCCAAACTAAATGTTCCTAGAATTTTAACAGTAAGAACCAGCAGAATATTCTTTCTTCACAGATAGCCACATATTTGCATAGAAAACAAGCACATTCTTGCTGTGCACACATTTTGTGTAGGTATGCTGTAGGTATGCAATCCCATCAGATCTACTGATAAAAGAAGCACTTTCCTTTGAAAAGATTTCCCAAACATTTTGATGTGGAAGCAGAAATTTCTTAATGTGAGTTTGCCTGTGGCATTGGTTTTTTCCCTTCACACTGCAAGGCAGGCAAGTTGGTTCGTGTCCTTAGCTACTTTGAAGCAACAATTCACACATACGTATGCATTATATTTATTTAAAAGTTTAATAAATTACAGTTCAAGGTTGACCTTTCAATTATAGTATAAAAACTAAGTTGCATATAATACCAAAGGAATCATTTGTATACATGCGTCTGATTTGTACAAAACAAACTCACAGCTTACTTTCCAAACATTTTAAAGAGTATCAAAAATTCTCAGTTTATATGAAAATTCCTCGTGTTTTTATCTACTGAACAATCAGCAAAAAAAAAAAAAAAACTTGTGTAAGCTTGTAATACTGCAAGCCACACAGTGAGGCAGGCTGATTTGCTTTTTCTGCATTTGAATACAGTGGGGCCTCCAGATACTCAGGGTCACTGTTCCGGGATGCCCCCCCCCCTCCATGGCTGCCAGAAAAAGCAAATGATTGCATCTCATATTATTAAATGGCAACAACAAGTGCACCAATGCTTCAGTGCATCCATATTCACATCACTAGCATTTTAATTATAAGATATGATGATCCATGTATTGGTGGAAATTGTGGACTCAGAGCCCACAGATCCAAAGGGTCCACTGTAAAAATATAAATGTTTCAAAACACTTTTATTACATTGGTTTAAATAGTTAAAATTCTTACTAAACATGTAATAAAAAGGAAGGTGAGTTGGATCATTGTGGGAAAGGCTAAACTCACAAGTGTCAATTTGGGGCCAGAAAAAGGTGATAAAAGATGCTTTTAAGGTGATGTCTATTCAAAACAGTATTGGAGTAGATACAGACCAGTTCAACTGATCTGGGTTTTAAACGTATCTTTTTTTAAAAAAGCCGGCACACTTGTTCAAAAGATCCACAGTGTTTACAACTACATGGCCTCTAATTATAGCTACTGGTGTATGTATTATTACACTCCGGGGGTGGCATTGTTTTCTTGTAAGATCCCAAGTTACAGCTTTCGGAAAGTTATTTGCCAACATGTGCAGGCCCAGAAACACCCAGTGCACAAATTATACTGACACGGCCTGTTGAACAAGCTTGAGAGTGCTCCAGAAAGTTGTTGCATGTTGCTTTCCTAAAGCAGGATTCACAGAGTGTGTAACTTGATTTGACAGCATGCCTGAAATAAATGGGTTGCAAAGGAGCAGAGCGTCTTTTCTTAAGCACAAGACAGGACTGCGCTCAGAGCTCCGATTAAGTGCGGATGTTCTCACAATTGCAAGTCCCTTCCACACGCTGCTCTTGGGACTGGCTCTCTTCCTAGAAGTACTCCTCCTCTTCATCAAAAAAGCCATTTTCCAGGGCATATGCACAGTCTGCACTTGATACAGCTTGGCAGGCACCTTTATATTCTTGAATTGACTCATAAAGGGAGTATAGTTGACAAAGTAATGACATATCTAGTTGCCGAAGGCCAACCTTGGAGAAGAGAGAAAACACACATGTTAGTATATATGTTTTAATTTTACTCCTAAAATGTTTGTCCTTGCACATTTTTTCTCCCTGTGGTGACTTAATGTAAAAGATTAGAGTTGTACCTGTCAATTACTCAATGTAGCAAGAAGATTAAATTACTTGGGAGTTTCCATCCTGCTGAATTAGACAACTGTAGGAGTGTGCTGCTCTGTGAAGGATGTAAGGTGGCAAAGCATTCCTGATGCCCCAGTCATGGCACATGTCCCTTTTAATAGCAAAGGTTTCATATAATCTCAGGCTAATAAACTGAACCCCATAGAAACAAAGCTTCCTTACACAGAACTGTGTCAGAACTGGGTCATTGTTGAGATTCTATAAATATTCTTTAAAGGGAACATCAGCCAAGAGGAAAGGAGTGTGGAATCTCTCTCCTCCATTCCTTCCTGGTGGGAAAGTTGATCAAAGAGTACCCCAGAAGAGAAGTAGATAATGAGAGGGAACACATAAGCAAGGGGGAAAAAATTCCACATTCCCGCTCCATCCTTTGTTGTTCATTCGTTCAGTCGTCTCCGACTCTTTGTGACCTCATGGACCAGCCCACGCCAGAGCTCCCTGTCGGCCGTTCCAATTTGCCCTGGCTCATAGATCTTACATTCCAGGTTCCTATGGTGTGTTGATCTTTAGAGCATCGGATTCGTCGTTCACCTCCAGTACCGTCGGCCGCTAGCCTTCCTTTCGGCTTTGAGCTAGCTGCGTCATCACATCTGGGGCTAGTTGAACTTATCCTCTGCTCCTCCCCAGTAGCATTTTGGCCATCTTCCGACCTGGGAGTCCCATCTTCCAATGGCATACCGACATATCTCTGGTTGTACTGGTCCATTTAGTTTTCTTGGCAAGGATACTGGATGGGTTTGCCATTGCCTTCCCCAGGGATCACGCTTGGTCTGACCTCTCTGCCACAACCGTCCCGTCTTGGGTGTCCCTTCACGGTTTCGCTCATGACATCATTGAGGTGCTCAAGCTCCAGCGCCCCGACAAGGCGGTGATCCTTTGCTGGAGGCTCTATCCTTACTTCAATTCAATTTCCCTGTGGAATCCAAGTTGAAGAGGCCACAAGGGCCATCCAATCCAATCCCTGCTATGGAGAAATATACATTTGTTATGCAACCTTTTTTTAAAGGTCGCCCACCACAGCCCAAGAACCTCATCGCACAAAGGCAGGGAGGTGAAAAAATCTTAGTGTGGCGTTTGGTGGCATTCTGTTTTCAAGGAAACAGAGAATTAAATAACAGTTCCCATACCATCCTAAAATACTTGGTTTTAGCCGCTTCTATGCACAGGGAAAGCAGTGGAGCCGATTCCTCCCTGACTTCACAATCCTCTTGTTCCTATATATTTTAAGGATGGAGCACCACGGCCAACCCATGGAATGGCTCTTGTGTCGTTTGATGGACTCCATGGTACTCTATCTTTGAAGTGTATAGAAACATAATGGGACCCTGCATCTGTTGAGGTCCCAAGTCAGCATTTTCCACTATTCAACAGCTCAGATAATCAGGAAGTTCTTTCTATTATTAAAGTGGAATCTCTTTTCTTATAGTTTGAACCACTGCTCCATGTCCTAATCCCTGGTCCCATCTTAATATATAATCCTATCAAATACTTGAACATGACTACCATGTCACCTCTCAACCTGCTCTTCTCCAAGCTCCAAAATTTCCCTTTGTAGGTAACTGTTTTCACCCCTGTTACCACTTCCATTGCCCTTCTCTGAACATCGGTAATCATGATATGGAATATCAGCACATTCTATTCATCGTGGTTTGCTGTCCTTTTGGAAAGCATTCTGAGAGTCAAGCATTTGCTGAAATGGCTGTGGAAACGGTCACAACAGTTTTGTTCCTTTCACACCATTCCTTTTTCATAGTGTTTTACCATGTTGAGCTATGACAGTGTCTTGAACACTTGTTCTTGAACGGAACTAAAACCGAACTGAACTAAAACCAAACTGTCTGATGCATGTGCAAAGGCTATTAGCCTGTTACAGCTTTAAAAGCTGCTTCATATATTAACACAGTCCCTTCCTTCCCATGCAGGGAAGGTACATACATAAAGCAATGTGAGTATAGAACTGGAATGAATTAAAAGATGGTCAAACACACCACACCAACTTCTGCATAACTCTTTCCAAAGCCAGGCTTTTCTTGCTCGCTTTTTTCAACTGCTGGAAGCAAAAAAGAAAGGGGGGGGGGGGAAGCTGGGCAAGTCTCCTCTCTTGAAATGTAAACCTTTACTTCCGGCACTCAAGGTCACAGCACGTTATTTGATTCCACCTTGCAAAATATGAGACATTTCTACCAGACATTAAGTCTGCTTTTCCCACCTTCAGGTGGTTCTAGTGATGATTTTATTTGCCCATCAAAACAAATTGCTTCCTTCCTGCTCATGGGCAAAATTAATGTTTGGGTTGGTCCTATTATAGAATTACATTAAGAATGGAAATGGAAATTACTGAATCAGAGGTGAACAATTAGTATAGCTTTTATATGTAGGGTAGTGGCTTAATTGGAAAAGAGGTGGATGTGGGGTAAGAGACAACCTACATAGGAAGGGATGCTGAACAAACTCTGTGTCTAAAACATAACACTTCTGTAAACAACCAAATAATTAAAATATGAAATGTTTAAAATGTTTTCTTTTACTCTTTTTTCTTTTTGAGGGACTATACCTATGGGATCAATACTTACAGTTTTATTTACCCACATCCAACAAAATGTTTTTTCTATGAATTTTCTAGTAAGACACTTCTTAAACCAAGAACCCCCCCACACACACACACACACACATCTTTGTCTACCACATTGGAGTCTAAATTGAAGACTTTCCTATACTCTGAAATTGTTGCTTGTTCTAGAAGACGTTTTCCTCCAAGATGAATAATCTTGTCAATCTTATGTGTGCCCTGAAGACATGCTCATGCACACATTGAACCTGCTGTGATTATAGCTTGGAGTCAATCAAGACAAACCCCACCAGCAGTACAGAAACATCTTGTAGGTAAGGGCTGCACTGACTACAAGCCTATGTCTTGTGTTGTTTTTAATTCATTTCTCTGAATGTAACACTTTTAATCAAGATTTTGATTGAACAAGATCCAGTCTTGTGAGCCTACTTGTGAGTAGCTTTTATTAATAAAGGTGTATCATAAATTAAAGAAAGGAATAACAGACTGTACAGCACCAGGCTTTGTACTTTCAGCCTCTTGTCTGGGGAATTTAGAGTAGTGCTATTCAAATTAATGGTCTCAGAAATGGAACCAGGGCCCTGGTCCCTATTGAGTTTCCAGGAAAAATCAGAAACCCTACAGATAAATTGAGATTTCAAGGGGGAAAAACATTTAAGAGAGTATCAACTCCACACATCTCACAGAAGCAAAAGGGTTTTTTTTTGGGGGGGGGGGTCAAATTATATTGGAATGCTTTTAATATAAGCTGCTTTGAGTCTCCTTTGTAGAAGGAAAAAACAGGATATAAACAAACAAACATAATAAACAATAATAATATACAGAAGTAAACATGGCGGGGGTGATTTTGTACCTCTCCACTATGAGCGTTGTGTGTCTGTCCTATTTTCTCTCTTGCACTGTATCTGAATACCCCTTCCTTTTGCAACAACTGTTAGATCAGGAAAAGACAACTGTGGCCCTCTAGAGAAGTGGTTCTCAGCCTGTGGGTCCCCAGATGTTTTGGCCTTCAACTCCCAGAAATCCTAACAGCTGGTAAACTGGCTGGGATTTCTGGGAGTTGTAGACCAAAACACCTGGGGACACACAGGCTGAGAACCACTTCTCTAGAGGGCCACAGTTGTCTTTTCCTGATCTAACAGTTGTTGCAAAAGGAAGGGGTATTCAGATACAGTGCAAGAGAGAAAATAGGACAGACACACAACGCTCATAGTGGAGAGGTACAAAATCACCCCCGCCATGTTTACTTCTGTATATTATTATTGTTTATTATGTTTGATTAAGAACCACTGCTCTAGATGGCGAACTGCTGCTCCCAGCATTCCTGTCTCCCAAGTAAGGCTGTATTGTAGCCACGAATGCCCCTCCTCCCTGACCTGTCAAAAGGTTGTTTGTGAGAGATGCCCCATGATGCACCCTAATTCTGGCCCAGTTTACCTGTCCGAACATATCTCCCTCTATCAACCACCAAGGACATTAAGATCATCCGGGGAGGCCCTGCTCTCGGTCCCATCTCTTTCGCAGTCGCGACTGGTGGGGATGAGAGACAGGGCCTTCCCTGTGGTGGCTCCTCGGCTGTGGAACTCCCTCTCCAATGAGATTAGATCTGCCATCTCCCTCCTGACCTTTCATAAAAAACTCAAAACCTGGCTGTGGAGTCAAGCATTTGAACAATAGATGGATCAACTGGAAAGAGAATATTTTTAGTGACCGCAATGAATTGATCTGGACTATGATTTTGAACCAGCAAACTGTTTTTAAATTGAATGCTTATAATCTAACTGTGTTAATTGTAACTAAGATTTTTAATTGTGTTGGCATCTAATGGCTGCCGGTTATACGCCGCCCTGAGTCACTCTTCGGAGGTGAGAAGGATGGGATATAAATGCTTGAAATAAATAAATAAATAAACAATGTTGTTTGAAGGCTATATGCAACATTTAAAGACTTTGAAGGCCCACTATATTGGGATCCTCTAAGCCAGTAGTTCCCAAGCTGTGGGTCCCCAGGTGTTTTGGCCGACAGCTTCCAGAAATCCCAGCCAATTTATCAATTGTTAGGATTTCTGGGAATTGAAATCTAAAACATCAGGGGACCAATAGGTTGAGAACCACTGCTTTAAGCACATGTACCAGGTTGCCTTGTATCTGTGTGGTAACGCAGAGTGATCTCAGAGCTACTTTTCACCACAATAGACAGAACAGTTTCTTCTGGGTATGACTAATCTGAAGGCATCAACAGCATGCTGTAATGTGGGTACTTTGTGTTAGTAATCATTTCACGAACATTTATGTTGGGAGAGAGAAAAATGTTACAGTTTTCCCTGTATTTCGAAGTCACATCATGTTCTGTCTGTTTAGATTCTGGGAGCACATTGGACCTATTTACACCTACAACCCTCACATAAGGCTATGGTGCTTTCCTATTCTCTAAGGTTCATGTTTGACAGGAATAGGAGAAACACAACTCTTCAGATGATGTTCAACTGCATCTCCCATCCTTTCACATCACTGGCAATACTAACTAAAGCTGGTGGGATGATACACCTATGTATTTCATCTGCAAGGCCCCACATTCTCCACTCCTGTTGCATAAACCAGCAGCACCATTCCACAAACACTAGATAAAGATCAAGCACTTTTTAATCACATCCTGAAATAGCCAGATTGAGTGTGATCCCATGCTGCTCTCACTCGGGAATGGACACTGATTGGAAGGAAACTTATTAGTCACTACTACTTCCTTTAAGCAAAAGAATAAGGGGAAAACGACTATTCAGAGTGCTTAATCTGGGACGAGGCCAAACAGATTTAATTCATTGTTCCGCCTTAAATTTCATATGACAGAAGAAATGTCATCAGTGCTTGCATACCTAATGAAGTCATATTTCCTCACGGGCAAAATAGCTTGTTTACCTTGAGTCTCTCATTTAAAAACACATGTGCCACTTCAAAATAGGAAAGCCTTTTAGATGATGGAATATTCAAAAGCTTTTGAGGGACATTGGAGGTTGTTTAAGATGAATTAAAGCCATGCTTGATATTCAAAATGGGTTTAGATCAGGCATGGGCAAACTTCGGCCCTCCAGGTGTTTTGGACTTCAACTCCCATCATTCCTTACATTCCTAAGCCCTTTCCTTGTCCCCCTCAGCCACTTAAACAATGCAAATGCATTAAGGTACTAACAATATAAAATTCAAAAAGCAATTCAACTATTCATGATATCAAAACCATTATACATTAAAATATTATAATAATATATTACAACTTTATTCCCACCTTTAAATGCCAATCGCATCACCTTTAAAAGCCCTGCCCTTGCTCTGGTTTAGAGAAGGGAATGTGACTTGTGGCAGGCAGGCTGTTTCCCACATGTGATTTCTCTGAAAAGTAGGTTAATTGGCTTAATCGGCATTTGCATTGCATAGGAGTCTTTCATGGGCTCTACACTGGACAGCTTAGAGCAGTGGATTTACATTGGTTTTTGGGTTTGTTTGTTTTTTAGAAATTTGACTGAAAATTGAGCTGCTAAGAATCCAGCAATATAAGCAATAGGTAAAGGTTTTCCCTGACATTAAGTACAGTCGTGTCCGACTCTGGGGGGTGGTGCTCATCTCCATTTCTAAGCCGAAGAGCTGGCATTGTCCGTAGACACCTCCAAGGTCATTATTTATTTTGGACATTTATATACTGTTCTATCTTGACCTCCGAAGAGGGGCTCAGGGTGGCTGACAACAAAAGCGTAAATATACATCTTAGGTAAAAGCAGTACAAAACATTATAAAAACAGTAAAAACATATAATACAATAAAATACTAATAATAATTATATTATATATAATATAATAATAATACTAACAGTAAAACACTATACCGTAATACAATATAATACTAATAATATAATATAATTATATGTATTGTTGAAGGCTTTTATGGCCGGAATCACTGGGTTGTTGTAGGTTTTTCCAGGCTATATGGCCATGTTCTGGAGGCAATTTTTCTCCTGATGTTTCGCCTGCATCTATGGCAAGCATCGATGCAAGCGAAACGTCAGGAGAAAAATTGCCTCCAGAACATGGCCATATAGCCTGGAAAAACCTACAACAACCCAATATAATTATATATTTTATATGACATGTAATATTACTAATAATATTACAATATAATGGTATGGTAGGAATATATAATACTGATATTGTACTATGCTAATAATATAATATATTGTGTGTATATATATCTTGTAAGCCCCTCTGAGTCCCCTTCAGAGTGAGAAGGGTGGCATATAAATGTCGTAAATAAATAAATAAAACATTAGAACAATCGCCAGAATTAAATCGTCATCCTAGACACAGTCCATTTGAGTCCATCAGAGTCCATAGCTCTACTATCACATCGGTCTAGTCTGTCATGTGGCCAGCATGACTGCAAGGAGTGTTATTACCTTCCCGCTGGAGCGGTACCTATTGATCTACTCACATTTGCATGTTTTTGAACTGCTAGGTTGGCAGAAGCAGGGGCTAACAGTGGGAGCTCACGTCACTCACCAGATTCGAATCTGCAACCTTTCGGTCAGCAAGTTCAACAGCTCAGTGCTTTACGAAAAATCTGAAAACTTGGCTCTTCTGATGTGCCTTTGGGAGAATGACCATTTGTCCCAGTTCTGTTTTTTCTATCTACAGTGTTGCACTTTCTCCCGTCCTAAACTGAAAGTCTAACCCAGGGGTCCTCAAACTTTTTAAACAGAGGGCCAGGTCACAGTCACTCAAACTGTTGGGAGGGCCGGATTATAATTTGGAAAAAACATGAATTCCTATGCACACTGCACATATCTTATTTGTAGTGCAAAAAAAAAAAACCCAACAATTTAAAACAAAACAATGAAGAACAATTTTAACAAATATAAACTTATTAGTATTTCACTGGGAAGTATGGACCTGCTTTTTTTTGGCTGATGAAATAGGATTATTGTTGTGTGCTTTCAAGTCATTTCAGACTTAGGTTGACCCTGAACGAGGGCTGGGTAAATGACCTTGGAGGGCCGTATCTGGCCCCCGGGCCTTAGTTTGAGGACCCCTGGTCTAACCCCATTGTTCATCCTTTTTGGGCTCCTCTCAATTACACTTTTTCTATTCCTACCTCAACCTGGGTTTTATCATTTAATCATCCATTTGGCCTGGTCATTGTGTTTGATTTTATATATGTCAACCTCCTTTGTGTATTTTATTTTGCTTCTTTATATATTTTATTCTGATGAAATTTTGTTGCCTGCCTTTTGTATTTTATTTTGCTATACTGTATCTTTGGGCTTGGCCTCATCTTAGCCTTCGGGGAGATGGTGGCAGGGTACAAATAAATTTGTTTATTATTATTATTAACCCACTGTGCCACCATATCCAGAATACTTTGCCTAAAAACTTCTCAAGTTGTTTTTGCAACACCTCTTGTAAAAGGAAGAGCAATACAAAGGTTCCATTGGTGCAAATGGAAGCTTGATGCTTACAGATTGGAAGCAGTTTGCCTATAGACAGGTGCCTGTTCATTCATAATAGACTTGGGTGCATCTACTCCTGAATAAATTCAGTCTGGCACCACTTATGCATGATGTGGAACCACAGGAATTGTAGTTTGGTGAGACACAAGCACTCTTTGCAGAGAAAGCAATAGAATAGGGCATTCATTCTAGAGTGTAGATAAGCCTGGGCAAACTTGGTCCCTCCAGGGGTTTTGGACTCCAACTCCCACCATTCCTCACAGCCTCAGGCCCCTTCCTTTTCCCCCCAGCCGCTTAAGCGGCTGAGGGGGAAAAGGAAGGGGCCTGAGGCTGTGAGGAATGGTGGGAGTTGGAGTCCAAAACCCCTAGAGGGACGAAGTTTGCCCAGGCCTGTATCACACAGCGTTGTGATCCGCTCACCATCTCTTTCCGGAGCAGGGCCAAAGCGGCGTCCAGGTTGGGGGGCTTGGGCGGCCTTGGCGAGCCCCGCCCGCCCCCTCCGCTGCGGCTCAGCTCGTCCTGGATGCGGGACTTCTGGGCGTAGAGCCGCTCCAAGTCCCGCCAACGGCCCCCGCCCCCGCTGGACGAGGAGTTGAGCAGCCCGCTCAGGCTCTTGGGCAGCGGCGGCAAGCCGGACCCCGCTCCGCCCCCTCCTCCAACGCCGCCGCCTCCCCCGGGAAGCCCCGGCGCCGCGCTCATCCCGCCTCCGCCCAGCCAGCCGCGCCGAAGCGGAGCAACACCGCAAACAACCCGCCCTGCCCGCCTTCCTCCGCCTTCTGCCCAAAGAAAGGCTCTTTCTCTTCGGATAGGCTCTGGCTCCGCCCCCTCGGATAACCACGCCTTCTTCTATTCGCCACGCCCTCCTCCAACCCTCTCGGAAAGAACACAGAAGAGGCGGGGCGAGGAAAGATTGACAGGAGAAAAGGCTCTTTCTGTCCCCGCCCCCTCGGATAACCACGCCCTCTTCTATTCGCCGCGCCCTCCTCCAGCCCTCGCGGAAAGAACACAGAAGAGGCGGGGCGAGGGAAGATTGACAGTAGGAAAGGCTTTGTCGAAGGCTTTCATGGCTGGAATCACTCAGTTCTTGTGGGTTTTTTCGGGCTATATGGCCATGTTCTAGAGGCATTTTCTCCTGACGTTTCGCCTGCATCTATGGCAAGCATCCTCAGAGGTAGTGAGGTCTGTTGGAACTAGGCAAAAGGGTTTATATATCTGTGGAATGACCAGGGTGGGACAAAGGACTCTTGTCTGTTGGAGCTAGGTGTGAATGTTTCAACTGACCACCTTGATTAGCATTTGATTGCCTGGCAGTGCCTGGAGCAATATTTTGTTGAGAGGTGATTAGATGTCTTGTTTGTTTCCTCTCTGTTGTTATGCTGTTCTAATTTTAGAGTTTTTTACTACTGGTAGCCAGATTTTGTTCATTTTCATGGTTTCCTCCTTTCTGTTGAAATTGTCCACATGCTTGTGGATTTCAATGGTTTCTCTGTGTAGTCTGACATGGTGGTTGTGAGAGTGGTCCAGCATTTCTGTGTTCTCAAATAAAATGCTGTGTCCAGGTTGGTTCATCAAGTGCTCTGCTATGGCTGACTTCTCTGGTTGAAGTAGTCTGCAGTGCCTTTCATGTTCCTTGATTCGTGTTTGGGCGATGCTGCGTTTGATGTTCTCTATGTAGACTTGTCCACAGCTGCATGGTATCGGGTGACTCCTGCTGAAGTGAGAGGATCCCTCTTGTCCTTTGTCCTTTAAAAAACTCTAAAATTAGAACAGCACAACAAGAGAGAGGAAACAAACAAGGACACCTAATCACCTCTCAACAAAAGTTTGCTCCAGGCACTTCCAAGCCATTAAATGCTAATGAAGGTGGTCAGTTGAAACATTCACACCTAGCTCCAGAAGACAAGAGTCCTTTGTCCCACCCTGGTCATTCCACAGATATATAAACCCCTTTTTCCTAGTTCCAACAGACCTCGCTACCTCTGAGGATGCTTGCCATAGATGCAGGCGAAACGTCAGGAGAAAACGCCTCTAAAACATGGCCATATAGCCCGAAAAAAAGTACAACAACCCAGTGATTCCGGCCATGACAGCTTTCGACAATACAAGGCTCATTCTGCCCGTTTGGGCTCTGGTCCCGCCCCTTCGGATAACCACGCCCTCTTCTATTCGCCACGCCCCCTCCGGCCCTCTCAGAAAGAACACAGAATCTCTATTGCCCATTTTCTACCCAGTGTATTCAGCTTATAAAATAGATTCTTTTCTATGTGGACTGTGGAAAAAAAGAAAGAACACAGAGGAGGCGGGGCGAGGAAAGATTGGCAGTAGAAAAGGCTATTTCTGTCCGCTTGGGCTCTGGCTCCGCCCCCTCAGACAACCACGCACTCTCCTATTTGCCACTCCGCTTGGTTCCGCCTCCTCCGATTAGCCGCGCCCTATCTATTGGCCACGCCCGCTCTCCAGCTGCAGCTCCGGTTGGGCTCCGGGCCACGTCCACAACCCCATTGAGGAAGATTGACAGGAAGAAGGCGCTATCTATCTGGCTGGGGTCTTCCGATTAGCCCCGCCCCTTCAATCGGCCCCGCCCACTCTAACTGCGCCTCAGAATATATAAAAAGATTCTTTTGTATTCAGCAGGGCTCTGGCTGCCTCTCTTCCGAATAGCCACGCCCCTTCAGTTGGCCCCGCCCACTCTAGCTGTCGCTCAGAGTAGAGAGAAAGGCTCTTTTATGTCCAGCTGGGTTCTGGCTCCGCCTCCTCTGATTAGCCACGCCCTTCAGTTGCCCCGCCCACTCTAGCTGTCGCTCAGAGTATAAAGATTTTTTTATGTACTCCGCATAGCCACGCCCACTTCAATTGGCTCCTGACTTCCCAACCAATTAAAGCACATGGAGGGGAAGGAGAAAAGAGCGGCGGTTGGAGGAAGATTGACAAGAAAGGCTCTCTCAGTCTGGCGGGTTTGTCTCTGGCCTCCCCCTCCCCACGAACGGTCTCGTCCAATCCGATTGCTGCTTAGTTTTCAGAGAAAGGCTTTATGTGAGGTTCGGCTCTGGCCCTGCCCACTCCGAATGGCCCCGCCCGTTCAGCCTCCCCTAGAAGAGTGACAGGAAAGGCTAACTGTTGTTGGGCTGGGCTCTGTCCCCACCCTCTCGGATCGGCCACGCCCACTCCATCTGCCGTCGGACTTGGCCCCGCCCTTCGCAATAGCCCCGCCCATTCCAGGCGAGGGGAGTGTTCTCTGTGTTGCCCCATTAAGGTATGTGAAGAAGGAGAGCTGTATATCTAAAAAACCTCTTAGCCCCAGACTCACACCTGTCAGTCATTGCCACATATGTACAAATAACATATCCAAGTATTTTAGTTATATAAAAAGAATCTGCGAACCCCACCTCCTTCAAGATGAACTGAACAACCTAAACTGGGCTTTACAGGCCAATGGATACTCCACCTCAGACATCAGAAGAGCTGCAAGACCGAGAACAAGCCACGAGAGTAAAGATGAAGATCCACCCAGAGGAAAAGTGTTCTTGCCATACATCAAGGGAACCACTGACCGCATAGGGAAGCTGATGAGGAAACACAACATACAAACTATCTACAGACCCACCAAGAAAATCCAACAAATGCTACGTTCAGCAAAGGACAAGAGGGACCCTCTCACTTCTGCAGGAGTCTACCGTATACCATGCAGCTGTGGACAAGTCTACATAGGGACCACCAAACGCAGCGCCCAAACACGAATCAAGGAACATGAAAGGCACTGCAGACTACTTCAACCAGAGAAGTCAGCCATAGCAGAGCACCTGAGAACCAACCTGGACACAGCATATTATTTGAGAACACAGAAATGCTGGACCACTCTCACAACCACCAGGTCAGACGACACAGAGAAGCCATTGAAATCCACAAGCATGTGGACAATTTCAACAGAAAGGAAGAAACCATGAAAATGAACAAAATCTGGCTACTAGTTTTAAAAAACTCTAAAATTACAACAGCACAACAACAGAGAGGAAACAAACAAGGACATCTAATCACCTCTCAACAAATGATTGCTCCAGGCACTGCCAGGCAATCAAATGCTAATCAAGGTGATCAGTTGAAACATTCACACCTAGCTCCAGCAGACAAGAGTCCTTTGCCTCACCCTGGTCATTCCACAGATATATAAACCCTTTTGCCTAGTTCCAACAGACCTCACTACCTCTGAGGATGCTTGCCATAGATGCAGGCGAAACGTCAGGAGAGAATGCCTCTAGACCATGGCCATATAGCCCAAAAAAACCTACAACAACCCACTTATATAAGATGGACAACAAATAATATCAAATTATTCTTTGTCAGGTCACGCCAGACTAATCTTATCTCTCTTTTTTGATAGAGTTACAAGCTTTGTAGATGCAGGGAATGCTGTGGATCTTGATTTCAGGAAGGCCTTCGACAAAGTCCCCCCATGACCTTTTTGCAAGGAAACTAGTCCAAAATTGGTGTCCAATGACACCAATTTGGGAGGGATAGCTAATACTCCAGAGGACAAAATTTATTTCAACAAGGAAAAAATGTAAGATACTACACTTCGGCAGAAAAAAATGAAATGCAAAGATACAGAATGGCTTGATAGCAGTCCACACGAGCCAACAGTGTGATGCAGCAGCTAAAAAAAAATCAATGGGATTTTGGGATGCATCAAAAGCCCCCCCCCCCCCCCAACATGCCTGCCTATGAGGAGCATCTTAAAGAACTGGCCATGTTTAGCTTTCAGAAGAGAAGGCTGAGAGGAGACATAATAGCCATGTATAAATATGTGAAAGGGTGTCACAAGGAAAAGGGAGCAGACTTGTTTTCCGCTGCCTTTGAAACTAGGACTAGGAGCAATGGGTTCAAATGACAGGAAAGGAGATTCCACCTGAACATTAAAAAGAACTTCCTGACTGTACGAATGGTTCAACAGTGGAACTCTCTGCCTCAGAGTGTGGTGGAAGCTCCTTCCTTGGATACTTTTAAACAGAGGCTGGATGGCCATCTGTCAGGGATACTTTGATTGTGGTTTTCCTGTATGGGAAGGGGTTGGACTAGATGGCCCATGTGGTCTTTTCCAACTCAATTCTTTTATTGCTCTATTATTATGGAGGAGAGAGATGAAAGTAAAACCTGCTCTCTCCACACAGCTTTCAAGCTGCGGGTATGTCCTGGAACTGGTTTGAGGACAGTTTCCGCAATGTGTATAAGAATGATCCAGGCCTCAAAATAGTTCTAGGAGTCCCATCTAATCATCCGCACACTAAAACAAACCACTTCCTTCTCTGCTATTTTCCTGTTGACGTAAGACCTCAGTGTAGATGTGCTTAAAGTCTCTCTTTAATTTTTCTAAATCCCATCTAGTATTTTTCAATGGATTCCTATTTCTTAGAAAGGAACGGTCTGTCTCAGGGCCCTTCCACACAGCCCTATATTCTAGAATATCAAGGCAAAAATACCACCTTATCTGCTTTGAACTGGGTTATCTGAGTCCACACTGCCATATATTTCAGTTCAAAGCAGATAATGTGGGATTTTCTGCCTTGATGTACTGGGATATACGGCTCTGTGAAAGGGCCCTCAGACCATCAAATCTTAGGGCAAATTTTATCAGTTTTGTGTACTTCCTCATTTATAACTTCTTGCATCCTGACCACGCTCTATGTTGCATGGTCTCCAGGCTTTGGTTTATTAAAAGTTCAGGAGTGCTTTATTTCATTTGTAGACTATCCAAGGCACCATATAAGAAGGGTTCTTCTGATATGAATGTTTGATCTCTTGGAGTGTGAATTGCCTATTGATATAAAGTGAGACTTGG